ACTTAGTGAACATTCGAAGTTACAACGGCGCTGAAAAAAGTAACGTACAACCGTTTTTCACAGTTAGGAATGTTTCAGCATCCCCATGGTCACATCATTTGCACTCAGATGCTTGACCACAGACTCACATATATGACAGTTGCAGACTGCCCCGGAGGTCACGTAATCAGCCTCTGCAACCTTCTGAAAAATCAAAAGTCAATGGGGATGCAAAATTCACTTAACCACCGGGTTACTAACTTAACAGCTGCAGTGATTCGCTTAACAACTGTGGCAGGAAAAGTTGTAAAATGGGGCAAAACTCACTTAACAAATGTCTCACTTAGCAGCAGACATTTGGGCTCCATTGTATTCGTAAGTTGAGGGCTACCTGTATTATCTTGCTTCCTAGGTGTTAAATAATGCATAGAACAATTAAGGCCTTCTTCCTTATAGTACTCTCTACAAGCCGTTGTCCGCAAAGGCTACTTAAAATGGCAGGAGATTCCATTCCCCTTTGATATTTGCTGACAAATTCAACTACAGTGGTCCTCGACTTAATAGCAATTTGTTTAGTGATTGTCCAAAGTTATAACGCCACCCCAAAAAGTGACTGTTTTTCACAGTCATGAGCATTGCAGCATCTCCCTGGTTGCACAATCAAAATTCAGGCACTTGACAATCGGCAATCAAAATTCAGATGCTTGGCAACTGACTCATATTTACGACAGTTGCAGTGTCCCGGGGTCACGTGATCACCCTTTGACGACCTTCTGACAAGCAAAGTCAATAGGGAAGCCAGATTCACTTAACAACCATGTTGCTCACATAACGACTGCAGTGATTCACTTAACAACTGTGACAAGAAAGGTCGTAAAATGGGGCAAACTGTCCCACTTAGCAAAAGAAATGTTGGGCTCAGTTGTCCTAAATCAAGAACTACCTCTATTTTATATTCATTCACTTACTATCTCCTGTCTGGGGTGTTTTCATGAAGGAAGGTGGTACGTTTCCCTGCTGCAGGAGCAGGGGTGAGTTTCACTTACCTTTACCACCGGTTCGCCACGTACGCACACTGTCTACGCATGCGCCTGGCCTTCCACATATGCACTTTGCTCGCTTGCACACCTTCCGCACATGCACCCGGCCTCGAAAACGTGCCTTAAATAGCATGATTTGGAGCCTGGGCAGGCGGGCAGGCCCATCCGTGATCGCCGATACTAGTTTACCCGAATCGATGCGAACCGGCTGAATACCACTTCTGCGCATGGAAGAAACAGTGGAAGGGTTGCAGAAATGATCTCTTCCTCCATTGAGTTCCACTTTGGTTTCGTTCAAGACAATATTAGGACTAACCAATGGTGCTGGAACTGGACAATATTTGAGAAGGAAGGATAAACAATTGATATTGCAGAGAAATAACTTTTTTTTTTTAATACTGTTAGCTGTGGAGCTCTCTCCCCAGGGGGAAGGCGGACCTGGTTGGTAAAATACAATGGATTAAGCAATGGAAACATCTGCTGATGACATTGGAAAGAGGATGTTTCAGAACAGGTGACAAACACACCAAACAAGAATAGAATAGAATTTTTATTGGCCAAGTGTGATTGGACCCACAAGGAATTTGTCTTGGTGCATATGCTCTCGGTGTACATCAAAGAAAAGACACGTTCATCAAGAATCATAAGGTACAACACTTAATGATAGTCGTAGGGTACAAATAAGCAATCAGGAAACAAAATCAATATAAATCGTAAGGATACAAGCAACAAAGTTACAGTCATACAGTCATAAGCGGAAGGAGATGGGTGGTGATGGAAGATTAATAGTAGTGCAGACTTAGTGAATAGTTTGACAGTGTTGAGGAAATTATTTGTTTAGCAGAGTGATGGCGTTCGGGAAAAAACTCTTCTTTCCAAGCAGTGACCTTAGGCTAGGACAATTCTTGCCTGCTGTTGGCGCCCAGCTGCTATTTATAGGTATTGTCTAACAAAACACCAAGGCCTTTGCAGACAATGGCTTTGGGCTAGACATGATTGATGTTCTAAGGCAGTAGAGATGCTCTTGGCCTCTGCCAAGGAGGATACAACAGCTCTTGAAGACTGGGAGTTGCAGGAGAAGGTCATATCCCAGCTAGATGTCAGGAAGGAATTTGAAGACGGCCGTTTTTTGAAGATGATGGTTTGTTGGGATCTGTTCCTCATTCTAGCCCAAGAGAGCCACTTGAGTGAAGACACAATTAGCACCTGAATTTAACAACTGGAAGGATCTGAACTTTGTTGGCAGCACAATTGGGCAACATGGGTGGGAGGAGATGCCTGGTTGCAAAAGATTTAGGCTTTTTCTTTCTCTTTCTTTCTTTCTTTCTTTCTTTCTTTCTTTCTTTCCTTCCTTCCTTCCTTCCTTCCTTCCTTCCTTCCTTCCTTCCTTCCTTCCTTCCCTCCTTTACCCCACCTTCTCCTTCCTCCCTTCCTCCCTCCCAAATATATTTGCCATCCATCTATAGTATAGTATAGAATAGTAATAGTATAGTATAGAATAGAATAGTATAGTAATAGTATAGTAATAGTAATAGTATAGAATAGTAATAGTATAGAATAGAATAGTATAGTATAGTATAGTATAGTATAGCATTTATTGTCATGGTACATCATCTATACAATGAAAATGGTTTTAGTCTCACTGGTGCAATCCATGACAAAAAATACAAACAACATAAATAGTATAAAGAATAATCCCTATGCAAGTAATTGGGGGGGGGGGGGGTTGGAGAAAAAGAAAGAAAAAAAAACTAGTCATACATTTCCACGTGTCCGTGGAGTGATTGTGGTTGTGTTTAAGAGTCTGACAGCCCAAGGATAGAAACTGTTTTTAAACCTATTTGTTTAGCTGGCTATGCTTCGATGTCTTCTGCCCGATGGTAGAAGTGCGAAGAGACACTGACCAGGGTGTGAATCATCTCTGAGTATCTTAGTTTGCTAAAGCAGTGAGACTTGGCAATGTCATCCAGTGGTGTTAGAGGGCAGCCAATTGTTTAAATCTCACCGTTTAGCCATCAATGAGCAGAGGTTGAGTCTTGATGTTGCTTGCATCTGTGGATCCTTCTTTAAGGATCTCTTGTGTGGGTTTAATTCAGGGGTGAAATGTAAAATTTGTTACTACCGGTTCTGTGGGCGTGGCTTGGTGGGGGTGGGTAATGTGACTGGGTGGGCGTGGCCAACTTTTTTTTTTTAACTTTTCAAAGCATTTTTTCTAATGCTTTGAAAAGCCTCTGCCGATCAGGCAACTCAGCTGGGATCGTCAGAGACTTTTCAAAGCATTTTTTTAAACCACCTCTTTGGCCAAGAGGTTGCAGAAAAAAATGCTTTGAAAAGCCTCTGACTATCCCAGCTGAGCCGCGCGATCATCAGAGGCTTTTTTTTTTTACTTTTAAAAGCATTTTTTTGTCGGAAGAGGTTGTAGAAAAAATGCTTTTAAAAGTAAAAAAAAAAAAGCCTCTGATGATCGTGCGGCTCAGCTGGGCATGGTGGGGGGAGGGTGGCGCAGGGATTTTTGCTACCGGTTCTTCAAACCACCTGCCGCCATCGCTACCGGATCAGACGATCCGGTCTGAACCGGGAGCATTTCACCCCTGGTTTAATTCCAAGTATGAGAATCCTGTTTTGGGATCTCCTCTTTACGTCTTCAGCCATTGAACTAAAAAAGCTTGCTAGCTGTGATCTGTGTATCCAGGATTGGCTACCAATCTCGTGTTCTCCAGCTGTTTCTTTTGCTTTCACTTTGCAGTAAAACAACGCAGAGTATTTCAAGTAAATTATAGCCATTACTGTAAAACAGTGCCTAGCGAAGTAAATGTTCTGAGGAACTGAAACTGGAATTTGCCTCTGTCAAAGGGATAAAGGAACAGTTCCCTTTTCTTGGCTTACAAAGTAACCTTCCCAAACTGATCACCTTTGAGATAAATTGGGCCACAGTTGCCAACGTCTCTGTGCCCCAGTCAGTGGTGGCACCATTTCTACCTGGGAAGTACAGTACAAACACTCTCCAAGGCTACATTCTTGGAAAGGTCCAAAGTATGCTGAAAAGTGACTCATGAGCCTCCTAACGACCATTGATACAGAGGGAGAAAGCAACCTCTGAACGCCCTTATATAGTGCCGTTCACGCAACATCAAACATAGCACATTATACAGTATTTATTCATTAGATTTATACCATAGCAATATGGTATAAATAACTACTTCAGCTGACTGCTTAGCTGCAGTTCGGCAGTTCAAATCTTACCTGCTCAAGGTTGACTCAGCCTTCCATCCTTCCGAGGTGGGTAAAATGAGGACCCAGATTGTTGGGGGGCAATAGGCTGACTCTGTAAACTGCTTGGAGAGGGCTGTAAAAGCACTATGAAGTGGTATGTAAGTCTTAAGTGCTGTTGCTATTGCTGCTAAGCAACCTCTTTAAGTTTTGCAGCCCTTGCAAAGCTCAGCATTCCCACCCAACACACTTTTGGGAAATCTAGATATTGCATATACAACTCGTGCAGGGCGTCCTAGATTGAGAAACGCCAAATTGCAGAATGAAACATTGGCTTGGAGCAAGAGTCTCTAAACTTAGCAACTTTAAGACTTGTGGACGTCAACTCCCAGAATTCCCCATGCTGGCTGGGGAATTCTGGGAGTTGAAGTCCATGTATCTTAAAATTTCCATGGTTGAGAAACACTGCTGTAGAGAACACAGAACAAAAGAGCCAAAGAGTTTTTTTCATAGCGTAACAATATACCATAAAACCCACCTGAAAGGCTTCTACTGGAAAGAATACTCTAACATTGATTTCTTCCTTTGAATCATTTATATCCCTTTAAAAAAAAATCTTTGTCTTATTTATAAACAATCTTTTTTTTTTCCAAACAGCGGTTTCCTGTTTAACTAAAATTGAAAAATCCTGCTATTTTTATACGTCTGCTTGTATATCTACATTTTGAAATAGACAGTACTATTCCATTTTCTCTTTTTCCCGTCTCCTAGGCAAACTATACATAATGTTCTCCCGGTTAAGAATAGCCGTTTCCCCCTGGACGTTGGCACATCGTAGCATGCATAGGAGGGAAAAAGGGAAGCCTTTGATGCTTAACCCCAGGACAAACAAGGTAAATATCATGGGTGTGTTGTAGGCCATGTCTTAAATTCGCACTAGGGCTGTGAAGCTTAAAGTAAGTGGAAGACTGTTGCAAGGGCTTGACTTTACTGTGTTTTCCCAAAAAATAAGACCCTGTCTTATATTTTTTGAACCCCAAAATAAGCACTTGGCCTTATTTTCAGGGAGGTCTTATTATTTTGGGGCGCATGGAGCAAGACTTGCTGTCCACTTGCTGTTTTACCTGATTTCCAGCTCTGTCACCCTAACCCTAAACCAGAGGAAATTTATTTGTTTGTTTGTTTATTTATTTTATTTTATTTTATTTTATTTTATTTTATTTTATTTTATTTTATTATTTTATTTTGATTTATATGCCGCCCTTCTCCGGAGACTCAGGGCGGCTTACAGTGCGTTAAGCAATAGCCTTCATACTTTTGTATATTTTTACAAAGTCAGCTTATTGCCCCCACAAACCGGGTCCTCATTTTACCCACCTTAGAAAGGATGGAAGGCTGAGTCGACCTTGAGCCTGGTGAAAATTGAACTCGCAGTAATTGCAGGCAGCTGGATGTTAAATGCTGCCTTTGTAGGAGGCATTAGCCTCCTACGCCACTCAGGCTCCTGAGTAGTGGGGACAGGCTGTGCATGCTCTTAAATATTTTTGGGGAGGGCTTATTTTTGGGGAGGGCTTATTTCCAGGGAGGGCTATTTTGAGTATGCATTCAAAAGCCCGATTTGGCTTATTATTAGGGGATTTCTTATTTTCGAGGAAACACGGTAGACATTGGGCAGCGCCAGATATTAAAAGAGTGACAGAGGAAGTAGCTGAACATTGAGCAGATCCAGAATGGCCACAGTCTGTTGATGGTTAGTAACTAAAGAGTTGTAATGTGGACAATTGTAATCCCTGTAATGTGCTGTATTATTGGGTCACTTTTTGGGTCCTAGTGTATGAAGTGGAAGGTAAGCAAGTCTGCAGTTGACCAAGCTTGTGTCATATCGTGTTATAGAAAGTTTGTTTAACCATGGATTGCTGAATAAATTACAATTTGGCTGGTTTCACGCAATATCATGCAACAGAATAGCACAGCCTATTCTAGCTAGGGTTTCGGTCATTTTGGTGGCGAGAGAAAGGGAAAATGGGGAGAAATTGGAGTTTCTCCAGGCAAAGGTAAGACAGAACAGATGTTTGGTCAACTGATTCCCCGAGATTCTTTTGGTGAGAAAAATAAATGTCCTTGTACCTAAAATCCACGCTTGGCTTGATGGCTCAATTGGGCATTTATTTCACTGAAACTGACCCATTAGAGCAGAGGTGGGGAACTATGGCCGCTTCATGACTTCAACTCCCAGAATTCCCGAGCCAGCATGAGGAAATTATGACCCCTTCATGACTTGTGGACTTCAACTCCTAGAATTCCTGAGCCAGCATACCAGCAAAAAAGGAAATGAAAGGCCGTAGTTCCCACCCCTGCATTAGAGGATGAAAAATGCTGAGTAAATATCATGGCTAAGAATGGCAACCATAGTTAGAAGGATAGCAAGGGATTTGCAGGTAGTCCTTGAGTTAAACTTTGGAATAGGAAGAAAATGGGCTACATTAAATAATATGAAAGGAACAAAACAAAGAGAGGGTATTAGTCTTGATTAGGGGTGGGGAACGATGACCCTTTTGTGACTTGTGGACTTCAAGTTCCAGAATTCCTGAGCCAGCCGGTCATAAAGGGGCTATGGTTCCCCATTTCTGGTCTTAATTAAGGACAAAGGAAGGAATCATATTCTTGATGAACAGCTGGTAGGGTCCCACTAAAATCGTTTGGCCAAAGGATTTCCCCAAACCTGGAATTGAGGCTAATTTTATCTTTTCCTCTTGCTGTCTCTATTTAGGGTATGGCTTTTACCTTAAAAGAACGGCAGATGTTGGGGCTTCAAGGACTCTTACCGCCGAAGATTGAGACGCAGGACATCCAAGCTTTACGTTTCCACAAGAATGTAGCCAAAATGACGGATTCCTTAGAGAAGTAAGAGCCCATTGGAGGAGAGTTACTTTTGGGGCGCTGATTCTCCATGCCTTGTTGGCATTGGTTTCCGATTACGATTTGGAGAATCACAGTTGCAAATATCCCAGACATACTGGGGATGGGGGAATGTTGGTTGCGGGACCAAATGCATTCAAACCCCTTATCTCTATATCTTTTTTTTTTTGCAAGCCATCTCTTCTATTCTTTGTCATTATCAAAATATTCACAGGATTTGGATTTTGTTCCTGATTTTAATATAAATAGGGGGACTGGGTTGACAGGTTACCTTCAGCACTCCCAATCCTGTATTTGCAACTTTTCCAGAGTCTTCCACGATCACCTTACCAAAATTCAAAGGCAATTTCATTTTAATATCATTTTTAAAATAAATTCAGCCCTGTGTGCTTACCTTGGGGTAGGTTTAGTTCTGAGTGAGGTCTTGAAATTTTGGTGAGTCTTTAAAGTACCAGGATAGAAACTAGGGGGCTGGAAGTTCTAGTCCCGCTTTAGGCATGAAAGCTGGCTGGGTGCTTTTGGGCCAATCACAGGAAAACTGTCAGTTATTGTCCTGCCTTGGGCATGAAAATCAGCAGGGTGATCTTGGGCTAATCACTAGGAGACTGTGAATTCCAGTCCTGCCTTAGAAATGAAAGCCGGGTGGGTGACCTTGGGCCAATCATCAGGAGACTTGAGTTCTAATCCCAGTAGGATTGAAAACCCAATAGGTAATTTTGGGCCAATCATAGGGAGACAATGGGTTCTAATCCTGCCAGGCACAAAAGCCAGCTGATGTCAGCTTTGGAAGCCATATTAGGCCGGAAGCTTCCATGCTGCCGCCTTCTCATGTGTGGGAAATTAGGAGGGGGGATTTAGTGGAGGGGTTGTCTTTAGACATAATAGCATTCTTCCTGTTGGTCAGGCCGATCCTGCATCTGGAGAAGGAGTGGTCGGAGTGATGTCTCGAGATGGGACGGATGTTGATTGGAGCATGTGATCGACTGAGGAGTGAGGGGACGGTTTGGGGGGTTTTGATTTACTGAGGGAAAACCCGGACCTCTCAGATTCGGGTTTTCCCAGATGTGCCAGTTTACCTATTCTAGTAAATAGAACTTTGGAAAATGCATGCTTCAGAGTTTTTACTTGGAGTTGGGTTTTTTTCTGGAACGCTGACAGCTGAGTGATTTTGGACCAATCACCAGAAGATGATGAGTTCTAGTCCCATTTTAGGCACATAAGCGAACTCGGTATCTTTGGGTCACTCTTTCTCAGCCCAACCAACCTCATGGTGTTATTGCTGTGAGGAAGATAGGAGGAGGAATATTAAATATGTTCGTCATTTTGAGTTATTTTTAAAAATAGTTGGGAAAAAAAATCTAATTATTTTTCCAGAGTTATCCCCCAATATGGCTGAAAATTTAGGTCCCATACCTCTAGGGAAGGTGTAACACTTTTACATATATCGTGTGTGTGTGTGTGTATTATGCATCTGTGTTTGTTTATAAAATTGATAGTCTGCCCATTTTACCCAGGGGTGAAATGTAAAATGTGTTACTACCAGTTCTGTGGGCGTGGCTTGGTGGTGGGGGTAATGTGACTGGGTGGGTGTGGCCAACTTTTTTTTTTTTAACTTTTCAAAGCATTTTTTCTAATGCTTTGAAAAGCCTCTGCCAATCAGGCAACTCAGCTGGGATCGTCAGAGAGGCTTTTTAAAAAATACCTCTCTAACGATCCCAGCTGAGTTGCCTGATCGGCAGAGAGGTATTTTTTAAAAAGCCTCTCTGACAATCCCAGCTGAGTTGCCTGATGGCAGAGCCTTTTCAAAACATTTTTTTTACCACTTCTTCGGCCAAGAGGTTGCAGAAAAAAATGCTTTGAAAAGCCTCTGATGATCCCAGCTGAGCCGCGCGATCATCAGAGGCTTTTTTTTTTACTTTTAAAAGCATTTTTTTGTCACAAGAGGTTGTAGAAAAAATGCTTCGAAAAGTTTTTTAAAAAAAAGCCTCTGATGATCGTGCAGCTCAGCTGGGCATTGGGAGGCGGGCACAGGGATTTTTGCTACCGGTTCTCCGAACCACTCGCCATCATCGCTACCGGATCGGGCAATCCGGTCCGAACCAGGAGCATTTCACCCCTGATCTTACCTCAGTGTAACTCTTAAGTTGTATAGTGTCTTTTTAAGTCACTGCAGTCTTCACTTTAAACATTTGTTTTTCCTTCTTGACTGGAAACATATTTTATGACTTGAGTGTTAATGTATAATCTTACTGGATGGAGTAACCAAAAGCTGGTTAATTGACCATGAAGTTACATGCGACTGGACTGCATACTTAGAGAATGCTGTCCCCATTGTACAAATGTTGACTAATCAGACTTGCATTTGTTTTTTTTTTCTCCCGATACAAAGATTTCTGCAATCTAATCCAGGCCCTGTTTTTATGGGGAGTAAGTTGAGATTCATGAAGTTTATTTCTGAATAACTACGCACAGCATTCTGTCTATAGTCCAAGGTCATTTGCACAACCACCTTACTATATGCCCAAGAACTAATGTTTGCAGCTGGTGTGCCTGCAATGCGGAATATGGAATTTGAAACTGGTGTCCATTAGAATGTGCGTTCTGTATTAAAAATAGCTCTTGTCATCTGCTTTGTTTTCCGCGGTGACTTTCATTTGCCTGTCGTCTTCTTCATCTTTCAGTCCAGCAAATTGGAATCTTCACCCTTCGTGGTGTAACCAGAAGGAAGATTACTTCTTCACATTTCTTCATATTTGTCCTCCCAGATTCAAGAGCAGAGGTCTTCAAACTTGGCAGCTTTAAGACTTGGGGACTTCAGCTCCCAAAAGTCCACAAGTCTTCAGCATAGCTGGCTGGAGAATTCTGGGACTTGAAGTCCACAAATCTTAAAGCTGCCAAGTTTGGGGACCCCTGTTCTAAAGTCTCCTCTCCAGAAAGCCAAAAATGACACCAGGCTGTATTACATTATAGACATGCAATATTTTTTCTGGTGCATGTTCATTTCATATGAATTGCTTCCTTGTCCATGGAGATTCAGTCATCCAGGTCACAGTTATCCCATGCTTTTTTTTTTTTTTCAAGAGATAACTGGACTTTCTTGTTTTTCTTTGAAGATGTTTCTCTTCTCATCCAAGAAGCTTCTTGGGTGAGAAGTGAAGTGTCTTCAAACTAAAACAGGAAGTCCGGTTGCCTCTTCAAAAAAAAAAAAAAGCATCTTTGGACTTCTTTTGTTGTTGTTGTTGTTTTGTTAAAGATGTTTCGCTTCTCATTCAACCAAAACTGAAAAATCTTCTTGGATTAGAAGCAAAACATCTTTAAGGAAAGAAACAAAGAAAGTACAGTTGCCTTCTGAAAAAGCAACTTTTGGGATTGCTTCCTTGGCTTCTACCCCCATCTTTCTAGCCAAATATTCCAGATTGTTACAGGGGTCGGTTGCTGGGGGTTTGCAAGGGTTCAGGAGAACCTCTAGCTAAGATTCTGTGCAGTTTGGAGAACCACCAAATCCCACTCCTGGCTGGCCCCTCCCATCCACCCCGCCCCTCCCAGGAGTTCCCATGTGGCCCATTTTGGATGCAGGTAAGTGTAGGGCGTGTGCAGAGGGTTGGGGAGGGCGAAAAACAGGCCTACCAGAAGTTTCCGGTCTCCAGAGGGCCTCTGGAACCTGGGAAGGCCGTTTTTGCCCTCCCCAGGCTCTGGAGGAAAGCCTCCGGAGCCTGGGGAGGGCAAAAACACCCCCCCCCGTGGTGCAGGAGGCTGACTAGGCCACGCCCACCATGGCCACACCCACCCAGCAACCGGGCAGAGAACCCCTTGCTAAAATTGTTGAAGCCCACCCCTGGATTGCTAGCAACAATGTTTTAAGAAAGCTGAAAAGTTAAATTACAAATTGAAATATAAAATGGTAAAAGAGATTAGCAATTGATATGGGTAATCCTCCATTTACAACCATTCGTTTAGTGACCGTTTGAAGTTACAACGGCACTGGAAAAAGTCACTCATGACCGTTTCCACATTTATGACCGTTGTAGCATCCCCATGGTCACGCGATCAAAATCCCGCTGTTTGGCAACTGGTTCATATTTATGACGGTTGCAGTGTCCCAGGGTTACGTCACCACCTTTTGCGATCTTCTGACAAGCAAAGCATATCCCAGTCATCTTCTTTAGAAAATAAAATGATTGGAGACAGAGAGCAAGTACTCTGAGGGTTGAGATTACTCCCCCAAAAGAGGTAAATATACAAGCGCACACACATTTCATATTGTTTCTCCACTTCTCTGCTCGCAGGTACATATACTTGATGGGAGTCCAGGAAAGAAATGAGAAGCTGTTCTACAGGATCCTACAAGATGATATCGAACGATTAATGCCGATTGTCTATACACCAACAGTAGGCCTTGCGTGTTCCCAGTACGGGCATATCTTTAGAAGGCCGAAGTAAGGACAGCCTTATAATTTCTTTACGTAATGGTCACAAATGTTTCTGCTCCTTCATAGAATAGAATAGAATTTTTTATTGGCCAAGTGTGATTGGACATACAAGGAATTTGTCTTGGTGCATATGCTCTCAGTGTACATAAAAGAAAAGATACGTTCGTCAAGAATCATAAGGTACAACACTTAATGATAGTTATAGGGAACAAATAAGCAATCAAATCATACTAGGAAACAGTCAATATAAATCATAAGGATGTCAATAAAGTGACAGTCAATTTATTCTGGAAACTAAATAGCAGACCACTATTCTTTTTAATTTTATGTTAATTATTTAAGCTAGTATTTATATAAGCTGGTATTCCTTTGTTGTTGTTGTTAATTGCGAAGTCATGTCTGACCCATCGTGACCCCATGGACAACGTTCCTCCAGGCCTTCCTGTCCTCTACCATCCTCCGGAGTCCATTTAAGCTCACACCTACTGCTTCAGTGACTCCATCCAGCCACCTCATTCTCTGCCATCCCTTTCTTCTTTTGCCCTCAATCGTTCCCAGCATTAGGCTCTTCTCCAGTGAGCTCTTCCTTCTTTCTCATTAGGTGGCCAAAGTATTTGAGTTTCCTCTTCAGGATCTGGCCTTCTAAAGAGCAGTCAGGGTTGATCTCCTCTAGGACTGACCGGTTTGATGGCCTTGCAGTCCAAGGGACTCCACAGGAGTCTTCTCCAGCGCCAGAGTTCAAAGGCCTCAATTCTTTGGTGCTCAGCCTTTCTTATGGTGGTATTCCTTAATAAAGCACTATTTCTACTGACTGCAGGCGAAGAAACTCAAAGAATTGATGGTGGTGACATTAAAAATTTCGCTTCCTCTTGTCTTATTGTTCTTCTTTTCTTCTTCCACATGTTTTGTTTCCACTTTGAATCCATTTTCTACCTTCCAGGGAGTTGTTAACACGGCAAGGGCTTTATAAACCTTTCTCAATAAAATTACTCACATTTATGATGGTTGCAGTGTCCCAGGGTCATGTGATCCCCTTCTGACAAGCAATGGGGAAAGCCAGATTCACTTAAAAAAACCGTGTTACCAAATTTAACGACTGCAATTTGTTAACAGCAAATGTGGCAGGAAAAGTTATAAAATGGAGCAAAAAAATTCACTTAACAAATATCTCACTTAGGAACAGACGTTTTGGGCTCAATTGTGTCCGTAAGTTGAGGACTACCTGTATTGTCCTTTTTTTAATCAAAAGAGTCAGTGTGTCCATCTTGGCATGCTCTGTGAATTTCCCTGACCATGAGGGGGCTGAGCTGAATCTTTCCATCTTCTGCTAAGTATTTTGAATCTTCCTCCCCTTCCTGAATTGTACTTATTCATTATAATTGCTTGTTCAGAGACATTTTTTTTCCTGCTTCATTTCACAAAATTAAGTGGATGTGAATGTTAAAATCAGATAAATGTTGCTTTTACAAATTCTATAAGCTTTTAAGTGGCTCAGTGGCTAAGACGCTGAGCTTGTCGATCGAAAGGTTGGCAGTTCAGCGGTTCGAATCCCTAGTGCCGCGTAACGGGGTGAGCTCCCGTTACTTGTCCCAGCTTCTGCCAACCTAGCAGTTTGAAAGCACGTAAAAAATGAAAGTAGAATAATAGGGACCACCTTTGGTGGGAAGGTAACAGCGTCCCGTGCGCCTTTGGCGTTTAGTCATGCCGGCCACATGACCATAGAGACATCTTCGGACAGCGCTGGCTCTTTGGCTTTGAAACGGAGATGAGCTCCGCCCCCTAGAGTCAAGAATGACTAGCACATATGTGCGAGGGGAACCTTTACCTTTATAAGCCTTTAACAGTGACATAGATCTCAAGGGCTATCTTGGTTTCACCCAGTTTTTTAAAAGATGTCATATTCAACTTTTTAAAACAAATAAGGAGAAGGTATACCAGGTTGACACTTGCATTCCTACCTTAATTTTTTTGCAGAGGATTGTACGTTGCCATAACAGATAAGGGCCACATCCAATCTGTTGTAAACAACTGGCCAGAGAACGATGTGAAGGTACGGACTGTGTTTTATTCTTTCATGTGGACTTTCTATAGTATGTGTTGTGGCCCACCAACAGAGCTGGCAGCAGAGTCAGACAGTGAGGAGGTTGGGGAGGAACATGGGCCAGTCCCGGAGGCTGGGGAAAGTTCTGACGAGGGCTCTGCATCGGAGGCAGAGAAGGAGCTAGACAGCAGTGAGGCAGAGGAACAGCTGGAGCCTGTTCCCAGTGTGCGCATGCACAGAGCTGCCAGAAGACAAGAACAACTAAGAAAGCAGAGTCGACTTGGGAGTAAAGCCACACCTTGGAGGTGATTGGCCCCTCCCATAGGAAACAAAAGAGGAGCGAACGGGGAGGGGGCTTTTGCAGGAAACAATTTGTTCGATCGGTCGTTTCAAGAGTGGAAAGTTCTGTTCGTGACTCTAAGAGACTCTGTGCCAAGTTTTGCCTTGCCCTGCATTTGGAAACTAGTTATCTAGCAGCTTTCCAAGCGAGATAAGGTTTGTGTTGATAAATATTCCTCTGAAAGACTGTTTGCCAAGCCTTGCTGACTGTGAATGAAAGGAATTCACAGTCGTGTAAATAAAAGGGGTTTTGCCGGGACCAAGACTCTGCTTCATGCTTTTTAAGGAAGCCTAGGTCAGAACAAGTACCAGTAGACCTCCTTGAGTGCAAATAGATAGGGGGTATGCTCGCAAGCTAAACAATGAATTCTTCTTCACCTTGTCTTTCTTTCTTCGTGTGATCTGATGCAGTTCTATATCCACTTTTGTCCTTCAAGGCTGTTGTCGTCACAGATGGAGAACGTATCTTGGGCCTTGGGGATCTGGGAGTATATGGAATGGGAATCCCAGTTGGCAAACTCTGTTTATACACTGCCTGTGCTGGAATAAAACCTGACAAGTGCCTTCCTGTATGTATTGATGTTGGAACTGACAATGAGGTAAGTTGTTAACATGTTCTACGCCCATCAGATACCTGTTGCTTGTCTGTGGTATTCATCGGTGGGGTGAGATGCCACAGAGTAGGATTTTGGTTTGGCTAAATGACCTTGAAGGTTCCTTCCAACTCTTGCTACTACAGGTAGTCCTCGACTTACAACAATTCATTTAGTGACCATTGAAACTTACAACAGCATTGAAAACAGTGACTTACGACGAGTTTTCACAGTTGCAACCTTTGCAGGATCCCCATGCAAAGCCCCATGATCAGAATTCAGATGCTTGGCAACTGACTCATATTTATGAAGGTTGCAGAGCCCCAGGGTCATGTGATCACCATTTGCGAACTTCTGATGAGCAAAGTCAGTGGGGAAGCCGGATTCACTTAACAGCCATGTTACTGACTCGTATCAATTGCAGTGATTCACTTCACATCTGTGGCCAGAAAGGTCGTAAAATGGGGCAAAACTCACCTAACAAATGTTAAACTCACTTAACAACAGAAATGTTGGGCTCAATGGTGGTCGTAAGTCGAGGACTACCTGTATTTTTGATAGATTTACTAAGTTTTTAAAGTTCCACTACAAGTAATCCTTGACGTTCAAAGGTATGATGGCCTCGAAAAAAGTGATTTACGACCCATCCTTGAAGTTACCATGTTGTATCATTCACTTGGTCACATGATCACAATTCAAGTGCTTGCAACATCACAAGATCACAATTGTGACTTTCCCAACAAGTTTCCAAGAAGCAAAATCAATTGGGAGTGTTGTGGCCTCTTGGCCACCGGCTCCTCCAGCAGCCAAATCAGATGAGGAAGTGACATGGGAATCAGGATCAGCATCAAGGAAACCTGAGAGCTCTGAGGGGGAAGAGGGAATGGAGCTGGCAGAGAGAGAGAAAGAGAGGCGGAGCCTGGGCCGTCCATCAGCCCTCAGATGGAGAGTCAACAACCCCCAGGTCTGGAGGTGGCTGATGAGGAAGAGGAGGAACAGCTGGGTCCAGTGCCTGATGTGTGGATGTGCAGAGGGCTGAGGAGAGGAGAGCAGTGGAAATCTATGGGCCGGTCCTTGGGAAGGAAGAGCCACCACTGCTAGTGAAGCTGTACCCTAGCTCTGGGGATAAAAGGCGGGGGGGGGAGATGAATAGGTGTGACAGACAACTATTCATCTTCCTGCTGGATAGACTTGTGAGAGAGAGAGACTTTTTGCCGGGGCTGCTGGCTCTCCGAATAAAGGGAACATTTATTTAAGTATAGAGGGTTTGTTGTTTTTGGGAGTCGGGCCAAAACAGGGAATTAGATTTGCTTAACGATGGCATGATTTACTTAATGGCCACATGATTCGCTTAACAACCTCAATGATTCTTTGAACAACCCCAGTAAAAATAATGTAAAACCGGGTCTGACCAGGCGATGACTTGTCTTCATGACTGTCTCGCTTAGGAACCACAATTCCAGTCTCCATTGTGCTCGTAAGTCAAGGACTTTTCTGTGCAAGGAAAGGCTTTTCGGTATGTCCTGCAAATATCCATGTTTCCTAGGAGTGGCAGAATATAATTCAGTGTTAGAGATCGGATCGGTGACTTTGCTTTTTTTTTTTTTTTTTCTATTTTCCCAGACACTTTTGGAAGATCCGTTTTATATGGGATTGTATCAGAAACGAGACCGCTCGCAGGTTTATGACGAACTCATCGATGAATTCATGGAAGCCATTGTAGGCAGGTATAAATCAGGGGTGGGTTTCACTTACCTTTGCTATCGGTTTGCTCGCGCATGCGCAGATGGTATTTGATGATGTCCGGGCGGGTAGGCGGAGCCTCCTGCCGAACTGGCAGCAACCCATCACTGGTATAAATCCTGAGATTTATTCCCCTGTAACCAGGGAAAGAATTTGTGCATGTTCAACAGACAGCCTTTCCTGTCTGTCCAAGAAGACTTCGATGGGTCAAAAAAGGCTCTGTTTAGCAAAGATGAGATTCACGGCTGGCATTCATCCCAACAGATGAATATGGGCACAAACTCCCCTTTTGTGGGCTAAAGGGTGTTTCTTTTTTTTTAAGACACACGGTTGAATTTTATCAGTGGAATTCCCTAAAAATGAGCCATAAAACATGCTGCCTTTCTGAAATGGGAAAAATTCTGCAGTCATATGACTGCAATTCATTATGTTTTTCTGCTGATTTCTGGCAAAAAAAACCCCATTCATTTAAGTGAATGGGTTAGGGCAGTGATGGCTAACCTTTTTGCCATCGTGTGCCAAAAGTGTGGGAAGCATGGGGGGGGTCACATGCACGTGTGCCCACACCCATAATTCTATGTGCCCCATCCCCATGAATGTGTGCGCGACCCCCCCCCCCACGCTTCCCATGCTTTTGGCACGTGATGGCCCAGTGGGCCCAGTAGACCCATTTTTTTGCCCTCCCCAGGCTCCAGAGCCTTTCTAGGAGCCTGGGGAGGGTGAAAACAGCCTTCCCCACACACCCCCAGAGGCCCTCCGGAGGCCGGAAACGGCCTGTTTGCCGACTTCCAGTGGGCCCAGAAGGCCCCAAAATCATCTGGCTGGCGCCGGAGCTAAGCTCATGTGCCCACCAATATGGCTCCGTGTGCCACCTGTGGCACTCGTGCCATAGGTTCGCCATCACGGGGTTAGGGTAAGGGTTAGGGTTAGGATTAGGGTAAGAGTTAGGGTTAGAGTAAGAGTTACGGTTAGGGTTAGGGTTAGGGTTAGGATTAGGGTAAGAGTTAGGGTTAGAGTAAGAGTTACGGTTAGGGTTAGGGACCGGGAGTCGGCAAATGGGCTGTTTCCGGCCTCAAGACGGCCTCCGGTGGGGTGGGGAAGGCTGTTTTCGCCCTCCCCAGGCTCCTAGAAAGTGTCTGGAGCCTGGGCAGGGCAAAAAACAGGCCTACTGTGCCCACCATGCCATCACATGCCAAAAGCGGGGGGAGCATGGGGGGGGCGCACTTGCATGCGCGGGGGGGCAGGGCACATAGAATTATGGGTGTGGGCACGTGCGTGCGCAACTATCCTGCACTCCCCCAGCTTTTGGCACATGATGGCAAAAAGGTTAGCCATCACTGGTATAGGTAGTCCACGACTTACAACCAGAACTGAGCCCAACATTTCTTGTTGCTTCTGTCCTAGCAGTTGTCAAGTGAGTTTTGCCCTGTTTTACGACCTTTCTTGCCACCGTTGCTATGTGAATCACTGTACTTGTTAGGTTAGTAACACAGCTCTCTTAAGTGAATCCGGCTTCCCTGTTGTCACAAAAGGTCACAAAAAGATTACCACGTGATTCCCAGGACACCGCAACCCTCGTAAAGACATGCCAGTTGCCAAATGTTTGAATTTCAATCGGGTGACTGTAGGGATGCTGCAATCGTCGTAAAATATGAAGCATGGTCACAAGCAGGGGTAAAATGCTCCCGGTTTGGACCAGATCACATGATCCGGTAACGATGTCGGTGGGTGGTTCGGAGAACCGGTAGCAAAAATCCCTGCGCCCCCCCACCCCCAACACCACGCCCAGCTGAGCCGCACGATCATCAGAGCCTTTTTTAAAAAAAAAATTTAAAAGCATTTTTTCTACAACCTCTTCCAACGAAAAAATGCTTTTAAAAGTAAAAAAAAAAAAGCCTCTGATGATCGTGCGGCTCAGCTGGGATCGTCAGAGGCTTTTCAAAGCATTTTTTTCTGCAACTTCTTGGCTGAAGAGGTGGTAAAAAAAAATGCTTTGAAAAGTCTCTGATGATCCCAGCTGAGTTGCCTGATCAGCAGAGAGGCATTTTTTAAAAAAGCCTCTCTGACCATCCCAGCTGAGTTGCCTGATCGGCAGAGAGGCTTTTCAAAGGATTAGAAAAAATGCTTTGAAAAGTTAAAAAAAAAAATTGGCCACACCTACTCAGCCATATTATCCCCCACCACCACCAAGCCACGCCCACAGAACCGGTAGTAACAAATTTTACATTTCAGCCCTGGTCACAAGTCACTTTTTTCAGTGCCATTGGAACTTCGAATGGTCACTAGACGAATGGTTGTAAGTTGAGGACTACCTGCATACAAATACAGGTAGTCCTCATCTGACCACAATTCATTTAGTGACTATTCAGAGTTACAGTGGCACTGAAAAAAGTGACTTATGACCATTTTTCAAACGTACGACCTTTGTAGCATCCCTGTGTTCAGATGCTTGGCAACTGGTTCATATTTATGACCGTTACTGTGTCCCAAGATTAGGTGATCCCCTTTTGCAGCCTTTTGACGAGCAAAATCAGTGGGGAGGACAGGTTCACTTCCCAACCATGTTCCTAACTTATCCACGGTGATGATTCACTCAATAACTGTGGCAAGAAAGGTCGTAAGATGGGGCAAAACTCACTTAGCAAACACTTCACTTAAGAACAGAAATTTGGGGCTCGATTGTGGTCGTAAATCGAGGACTACCTGTACCGGGATTTGATGCCATGCTGGGTTAGGGCAGTTAAATTAGAGAGGTGTGCAGGATCTTTTCATGGATGACGAATGCTTTGCTGTTCATTTTATATTTCTACCGGTGCCTTCCAGGTATGGCCAAAACACCCTCATTCAGTTCGAAGACTTCGGCAACCATAATGCCTTCCGCTTTTTGAGGAAATACCGAGAAAAATATTGCACTTTCAATGATGACATACAGGGTGAGTGATCAGCCCCAGTGCTATTACGATATTCCCCATGTGTGTTTGAAATTAACTGAAATTAAAGGATAAGGAAAGGATAAGGAAAGCTCAAAGTATTTTAAGGTATGGGACAAGTGGTACGATTGGATTAAGCGAAAAGAAAGTGGATAAGGATATACGTAGTAAACCATATAGATAATCTTAATGAGTACTAAATTTTACCTTTCTTTAATGGTGAATTTTAAATTGAGAACTGAGAGGGTATTTCCATGCTTACTTCATATAAATACCAACAACGACTTCATCGTCAGGAAAATGAATATGGGACTAGGTTAAGAAATATATAATGTGTAGAGAAGAATATATATAGATATGTAAAAGAATAGAAATGAAATGTCAAATATATGATATGATCTATGTATATGAATATCTTATTATTGTTTTAATTGTTTTTATAATTGTTTGATAATTTAATAAAGTTTGTTTTAAATTAAAAAAAAAAGATATTCCCCACTTTGGGCTCTGTTTTGGGGTTTGTTTTTTTTTGCTTCTACCTGGATCCTTTTTGCCCCTGAAAAATTGTGTGTCCTTCCTTTAGGGACCGCGGCAGTTGCTTTGGCTGGATTATTGGCAGCCCAGAAAGTCATTGCAAAACCCCTCACCGAGCACCGGATCCTCTTCCTTGGAGCAGGAGAAGTGAGTTGTGCGCTTGTTTGTAATTAAGACTGCTGCAATAAATTTGGGCCCTCGTGGTTTGCATTTAGTTGTCAAATAGGAACAGTCGTTGAGCCAATCAGAGCATTCTATACTGAAGGTAGGTTAGGGCTAGATTGCAACAATGCCCTCTGTGCAAGGCTTACCCTTGAAGCAGTGGTGAAATGTAAAATTTATTACTACCGGTTCTGTGGGCATGTAATGTGACTGGGTGGGCATGGCCAACTTTTTTTTTTTCTTTTAAAAGCATTTTTTCTTTTCGGCCGAAGAGGTTGCAGAAAAAAATGCTTTTGAAAGCTTCTGACGATCAGGCAACTCAGCTCGGAAAAAAATGCCTTTAAAAGCCTCTGACAATCCCAGCTGAGCTGCACGATCATCAGAGGCTTTTTTTTTTTTACTTTTAAAAGCATTTTTTCGGCCAAAGTGGTTGTAGAAAAAATGCTTTTAAAATAAAAACAAAACAGCCTCTGATGATCGCGTGGCTCAGCTGGGGATGGGAGGATGCAGGGATTTTTGCTACCGGTTCTCCGAACCACCCGCCGCCATTGCTACCAGATCGGGCGATCCGGTCCAAACCGGGAGCATTTCACCCCTGCCTTGAAGAGCATTTAAAGCATGCTGGCTGGGGAATTCTGGGAGTTGAAGTCCACACATCTTAAAACCTTTTTTGTGCACTTAAGACCTTTCTATTTCACCAAGCCGGGCTGGCATAAATCTCTTCTAATTGTTCTAAATCTTTATGCTGAAGATTCTTAACCGATGAACCAAATTGGCTTAATCATCTTATATTCACATTTTATATGTATGTTAGTTTAACTGTTCACCGCCCTGAGTCCTTCGGGAGAAGGGTGGTATAAAAATTAATTAATTAAATAAATAAATAATAATGAATGAATGAATGATGCCAAGTTCAAAAAATACTGCCTTAGATGGCATCGCAGGGTTGGGCATTGGGCAACCTAGAGCCACAGGTTAAACCCCTTTTTGTGGGTGCCAGCTCCCTGCCCCCAATTACATTGTTGAATTCAGCAGGGTGTTGAATTAATATTCCCCCACCCCCCGACGTGAAAAATGTGGCATTAGCCTTAGTATTTAGCATTTAGCCAGTTGCTTTCCAAAAAGCATTTCAAAGATGCACCCTTTTTCATTCTTGCCTTTTAAATAACTTATCGCCATATTATTATATCCCATCTTTTTTAACAGTAGAGGTAGTCCTTGCTCAATGACCGGTCGCGTAATAACTGTTCAAAGTTCGGATGGCTGCCCCCATCCCCCATAATCACACGACTGTATTTTTGGTGTTTAGCAACTGGTGTGCATTTACAACCATTTTGCTGTGTCCTGCAGTCACATACCCACGGTTTCCAGAGGGGTTTTTTTTTGGGCTGGACATCAGGGTTTACCTCAGATTTTGGCAAAAATCCCAGGTTGGTGTAATGAGTTTGTTTAATGACCGCACCGGTCTTTAAAAAAGCTGCAGTGTTCGTTCACCACTGCTACAAAAAAGTCCTACTTAATGCCTGTGATGTATGATTTGTCATTTTAGATTTCGTTACAGTTGTAAGTCAAGGGCTGCCTGTACTTTTATTTTTATTTTTTTATTTGTATCCTGGCTTTATTACTTTTACAAACAACTCAAGGCGGCGAACATACCCAACTCATCCCAAATGTGCTTTTTTCAAGAGGCAACTGGACTTTCTTTTTTTTTTCTTTGAAGACGTTTCACTTCTCACCCAAGAAGCTTCTTGGATTAATGTCTCCAAAGAAAAACCAGAAAGTCCATTTGCCTCTTGATAAAAGCACCTTTGGGACAACCATGACCTGGATGACTGAGAATCTCCATAGATATACGTAACACATCTTCCTCCTCCTATTTTCCTCACAACAATCCATTGAGGTGGGTTGGGCTGAGAGAGAGCGACTGGTCCAAACTCACCCGGCTGGCTTTCCTGCCTAAGGTGAGAGTAGAACTCACCTTAGAAGTTTCCCGCTTTCTAGCCTGGTGCCTTAAGCATTAGACCAAGCTGGCTCTCATTGCTATTACTTTAGTTATTTTTTAAAAAAATTCTGTATGGCAAGTATCCTCAAATGCTTTTTTCTCTTTGGTGGAAAAGTGGAATATTTATTTATTTGTTTATTGGTTCGATTTATATGCCGCCCTTCTCCGGAGACTCGGGGCGGCTTACAATGCGTTAAGCAATAGCCTTCCTACTTTTGTATATACCTGCTTAGTAGGGCTTTCGCCCCCTCAAGCGGTGTTCTTTTTTATACAAAGTCAGCTTATTGCCCCCACAATCCAGGTCCTCATTTTACCTACCTCGGAAGGATGGAAGGCTGAGTCAACCTTGAGCCTGGTGAGATTTGAACTCGCAGTAATTGCAGGCAGCTGGCAGCTAAGTGCTACTTAACAGCATTTTAGTCTGTTGCGCCACCAAGACTGAATAGCCATTCAGTCAGCATCTAAAAACCATTAGAGAGATATGCCAAATGTTGTTTTTGTTTTCTTTAATGGTTGTTTCAGCGTCCTTTGGAAACTGATTTCCAAACTCCTTTATGGATGCCAACACAGCTCTGCCAAACTATATTTTTTTTCCTACTCTTTGTCTCCCCCATCAGGCTGCCCTTGGTATTGCAAATCTCATCGTCATGGCTATGGTGGAAAATGGTCTTTCTACAGAAGACGCTTACAAGAAAATTTGGATGTTTGATAAAGACGGCTTATTGATAAAGGTACGGTGCCTGTGAGTTTGGAAAGACCCAACACAATGTGGGATGTTGCAACATAGGCATTGGTTGCCTATCTTGGTTTAGGTTTCCCAAGCAGTTGTTCTTTATTTTGTCGTCTTCTAGGGCCGGGCGGAAAAGATTGATGTCAACCAGGAGCCCTTTACTCATCCAGCTCCAGGGAACATACCAAAAACTTTCTTGGACGCCGTGAGGATTCTTCAGCCTTCTGCCATTATTGGTGAGAGTTTCAGGCAATTCCTAAGTTTTACTCATCTGAAAGTTTTGCTGCTTCTACTTCTACATTTCTGAGGTTGGAATTTCCAAATGTCTAAAGTGGTGTTTTTCAAACTTGGCAAGTTTAAGATATCTGGACTTCAACTTCCAGAATCCCCCAGCCGATATGGCTGACTAGGGAATTCTGGGAGTTGAAGTCCACACAAGTCCAATTGAAGTCCTGGCTGGGGAATTCTGGGAAGTGAAGTCCACCCATTGTAATCTTCCCAAGTTTGAAAAACACTGGTCTAGACTTTAGAGCTGTGATGGCGAACCTATGGCACGTGTGCCACAGGTGGCACTCAAAGCCGTCTCTCTGGACACACCAGCCGTCGCCCAGCTGAGCTTCACTGTGCATGCATGCGCGCCTCCCGCTGGCCAGCTGGTCTTCGGGTCTGCCGTGCATGCACGGAGCCTTCCCCGATCTTCACAGTTTCTCCCCCCCCCCAAGCGCGCAAGCTTTCTCCTGCATTTTTGCCGCCCATGCCTTCCCCGATCTCCGCATGTCCCATCCTCCGCAGGTGCCTCTCCATGGCAGAAATGCAGGACAAAGTTAGCATGCACTGGGGGGAGAAACTGCGGAGATCAGGGAAGGCTCAGGCAGCAGAAATGCAGGAGAACCAACTTGGGAGCCAAAACGGGGGGGAGGGGGCACATGCACCGAAAATGTGCGCACATGCGCAGGGCCAGTGCACATGCAGGGGGGCGCTTGCATTGCATTTTTGGGGTTGCATTTTGTGCATTCGTGCGCACGCTTGCTTGCTTGCTTTGAGCACTCGGCACTAAAAAGTTTAACTATCACTGCTCTAGAGCCTTGCTGACTGCAGAAAAATGGACTTCTTTCCACTTTATTCTTTCTTTTTCCACTTGTAGTACAAGTAGGAGCTTGCACACAATTCAGGAAATGTGTGTTCTTGCAGTGGCCACACTCTGTCCAAATTTCTCAACACTTCAGGCTCTCTCTCTCTCCCCCCCCCGCCCCCGGAGATTTATAGCTTGCAGCACTGTTAGGACAGCTCCTGCCTGGAAATATTAGGAATGTTTTCTTTGAGCCATGGTCTTATTTCCACTTTCAGGAGTTGCCGGGGCTGGGCGGCTGTTTTCTCATGATATCATCAAAGCGATGGCCGACATCAATCAGAGACCCATCATCTTTGCACTGAGTAACCCTACCGTAAAAGCAGAATGTACAGCCGAGGAGGCATACACACTAACAGACGTAAGCGAAAATTCTGAACAATTTTAGGCCGTGATGTTTCTTCTCCTGGGTTTCGCAGCTTGGCTCACTTGTTGGAGCTGCCTCAAGGAAGTCCTCTCTGTGACGGAGCTGCTCTCTCCCGTTACGATGCACTGAGGTCAGCTGATCTGGGGAGAGCTCATGATATGGATAGTCCTCGACCTACGACTACAATTGAGTGCAGATTTATGGTTTGTAAGTTGTGTGGCCTATTAAACGGGTCATGTGACCGCGCTTGACTTTGATTTTTTAAAGTTTTTTATTGATTTTACAACACAACATACAGAACACAAACACATATGTGTTTCTTTTTCCATATCAGTTTCATTCCTCTTACTTTCTACTTTATACATTCCCCATTTTTCCCATCCTTTATTATCATTATCGTCCCTTTATATCTAATTTTATTCATTTACAATATTTTATACATTTGTCACATTCTCCTCTCTATCATTTCTTCACATTTACTTTCCCTAATCTTGAGCCAATCATACCACTTATTCCATACTTGATAGTATTGTGTATCTTCCTTTTCTTCTTTTATTTCTTTCGTTAATTTGTCCATCTCCGCACAGTCCAGAATTTTCTTAATTATTTCTTCCTCTGTTGGTACATTTTCGTTTTTCCAGGACTGTGCGTAGACTTTCCTTGCAGCTGTAATTATATGCAAAATCAAATATTGGGTTTCTTTACTGTAGGTTCTGTTTAACATCCCTAGTAAAAACATCTCTGTTTCAAGTCCACATTGTGGCCAATTATCTCTTCTGTCCAACTTCTAATTTTAGTCCAATATTTCTTCGCCTTAGGACATGTCCACCAGAGATGGTAATATGATTTTTTTTTACAATTGTTAAGTGAATTTGTTGCCTGCAGTGGACATTTTTTTTTTGCTGGAAACTAGAAGTAAACTCCTGTTTCTGACAAAAATAAATCATAAATCTGGTCATGTGGCTGAAGGATGCCTCGACCCTGCTAGACTTTCATAAGACCCTAAAGCAGGGGTGAAATGCTCCCAGTTCGGACTGGATCGCCTGATCCGGTAGCGATGGAGGCGGGTGGTTCGGAGAACTGGTAGCAAAAATCCCTTCCCCCACCCCCCCTGCCAATATCCAGCTGAGCCGCACAATCATCAGAGGCTTTTTTAAAACTTTTAAAAGCATTTTTTCTACAACCCCTTTGGCCAAAAAAAATGCTTTTAAAAGTAAAAAAAAATAAGCCTCTGATGATCGCGTGGCTCAGCTGGAATGGCTTTTAAAGCATTTCTTCTACAACCTCTTCAGAGGTTGTAGAAAAATGCTTTAAAAGCCTCTGATGATCCCAGCTGAATTGCCTGATCGGCACAGGCTTTTTTTCTTTTAAATGCCTCTGACGATCCAAACTGAGTTACCTGATCGGCGGAGGCATTTAAAAGAAAAAAAAAGCCTCTGACGATCAGGCAACTCAGCTGGGCTCATCAGAGCCTTTTGAAAGCATTTTTACAACCTCTTCACCGAAGAGGTTGCGGAAAAAATGGTTTTAAAAGTAAAAAAAAAAAAAAATTGGCCACACTCACCCAGTCACATCCCCCCCCCCCACCAAGCCACCCCCACAGAACTGGTAGTAACAAATTTTAGATTTCACCGCTGCCCTAAAGCAGGGGTGAAATGCTACCGGTTCACACCGGTTCAGGAGAACTGGTAGTAAAAAAAAAGCTGCTGGTTGGTGTGAACCGATATTTCCAACGATCAGCTGTGCCACGCGATTTCAAATTGCTAGAAAGCAGGAAATCCTGTGCATGTACATGCGTATGCAGCGTGTGTTTGGCGCGCACCACGCCTGCGCGGGCAGCGAACCGGTGGCAAACGGGGGAGGATTTCACCACTGCCCTAAAGACAAGTTTCCAGAAGTACCCTGACTCCTCTTTCTGTTTGACAGGGCCGTTGCCTATTTGCGAGCGGCAGTCCATTTGGGCCTGTGAAGCTGAGTGACGGCCGGTCCTTCATCCCGGGCCAAGGAAACAACGCCTATATTTTTCCAGGTAAAGCCTGGGAGTTCCTGCCTCGTTGATTTGGGTTTTTTTCAAGTTGCTTAAAAGTAGTGCAGATATGAAGCACCCCCAGAAGAACGAGCTCTACCTGATGTTAAGGTTACACGAATGGAAACCTGCAAGTCCCAAAGCAAAGCTTTACGGATCAAGATGCTAGGGAGGGTCCCTTCTGAGATGCTTGCCATTCCCACGTTCCTTCTGGCAGCTAAGCTGCCTCAGATCTGACTGTTACCGTGCCTGTCTCCCAAGGTCATTCCCACATACCATTAGATTCTCTTTGCACAGCACAATGTTATCTTTCCATAGCGATGCCTGCCTGAAATGTTCAGGGAGTTCAGCTCTAGGAAATCCATCCCTTCCTTCCTTCCTTCCTTCCTTCCTTCCTTCCTTCCTTCCTTCCTTCCTTCCCTCCCTCCCTCCCTCCCTCCCTCCCTCCCCCCTCTCCCTTCTCCCCCTTCTCCTTCCTTCCCCCCTCCCTTCCATCTCCTTCCTTCTTTCCTTCCCCCTTCTCTCCTTCCTTCTCCTTCCTTTCTTTCCTTCCTTCCTTCCCTCCCTCCCTCCCTCCCTCCTCCTTTCTTCCCCTCTCCTCCCTTCTCCCTACTTCTCCTTCCTCCCTCCTTCCCTTCTCTCTCCTTCTCCTTCCTTTCTTTCCTTCCTTCCCTCCCTCCCTTTCTTTCCCTCTCCTCCCTTCCCCCCTTCTCCTTCCTTACCCTCCCTTCCATCTCCTTCCTTCCTTCCTTCCCCCTTCTCTCTCCTTCTCCTTCCTTTCCTTCCTTCCTTCCCTCCCTCCCTCCTTTCTTCCCCTCTCCTCCCTTGTCCCTACTTCTCCTTCCTTTCCCTCCTTCCCTTCTCTCTCCTTCTCCTTCCTTTCTTTCCTTCCTTCCCTCCCTCCCTTTCTTCCCCTCTCCTCCCTTCTCCCTACTTCTCCTTCCTTCCTTCCCTCCTTCCCTTCTCTCTCCTCCTTCCTTTCTTTCCTTCCTTCCTTCCTTCCCTCCCTCCCTCCTTTCTTCCCCTCTCCTCTTCTCCTTCCTTCTCTCCCTCCCTCCTTCCTTCCCTCCCTCCTTCTTTCCCCTCTCTCTCCCTTCTCCTTCCTCCCTCCCTCCCTTTTCCCTCCTTCTCCTTCCTTTTTTCCTTCCTTCCTTCCTTTCCTCCTTCCCCTTCCTTCCTTCCTTCCTTCCTTCCTTCCTTCCTTCCTTTCTTTTCAGTAGAAATGGCTGTATCAGTAGAAAGATCCCTGTATCTTTCATTGAATTCTATTCCACAATAACTGCACTGCAGGCATCTTTTTTTTAAAAAATGAGATTTTAAAAGAATGCAGTTCAAAAGCTCTCGTGCTTATTGTAGAAAATATGCTTAATCTCACCATAAAAATTTTAGTTACCTGTAGTTTGCAAATGTTATCCCATTCCGTTTGTATGTTTCATATAGCAGGTACTAGGACGAATTGCTTTCTGTTTTAATAAATCTGCAATGGATCAGCTGATCTGACAGTGTATGATTCAATTCAGAATAAAATTCAGCACGGTGTCATGTAGGGCAAATAACAAATGCATTGACACATTCACGCAATACAAGTGCTACTTACCTATTTCTCTATATGTTGCGACACATGAAAAAGGGGGGGAGCTTGAATTGGGAGGGCACACTGCTGCTTTTGATCATCTGGAAGTTCTAGATTTGGTTCTCAGATTGAATCAATTGGTGGAAGGATCTAGTGAGGGTAAGATTACTGCAGAATCAGAGTCTGTAGGCCTCCAAATTCCACTTACTGGCAAGCCAGAGGAGGCAAGTGCTGGGACCTTCTTTGTGGGCTCCCAAGGGATTAGACTGATTCCTGTGGTAGATAGTGCTGGATTATAGCAACTTTTGGGTATGATTCTGCAGGGTAGCTCTTCTCTGCCTGACACCAGTGTGCCCAACTCTTTAGTTTTAGGTATCGTTGTTATGTTCCTCCTGTTGTTTGCTGTGCCCCAGTTTTCTAAAAGTTTTTACTCCATGTATGCTTTGCATCAGGGGTGGTATTTACTTACCTGTCAGCATTCTGATGCTGCCATAAAAAGACGAACCTTGACTTTTCACCTACTTATTTTCTCTGTAGATAATATCCCCTAGGAGATGGATGGGAGGGGGGAACATTCCTGTGGGGTGAGGTCAGAAGCTGGGGAGACTGACTTGGAAGATGGCCAATGAGAAGATGAGAATTGGGGAACGGAAAGGGAAGGGTTTGGGGGTCAGAGGGTTAGTATCGGCTACGACGAAGTCGGGGCCAGATCTGTCGTACTCAATAAATGGAATATTTCAGCAAAGATTAATTGTTTGGGAGTGCAATTTATTTGAGATGACATCGAAACCTGACATTACCTTTGCTACTGGTTTGCAAATGTGAGCAGGCGCCACCTCCGCGCATGCACAGAGCCTTTCGTGCATGCACAGAGCGTCAAAAACGGGATGTGATGATGTCCAGGCGGGTAGGCGGAGCCTCCTGCAGCCGCCACTACCGTTCTCCCAAGCCGGATAGAACCGGCTGAATACCACCCATTGCTTTGCATGAACCAAAAAAAATGATTGTTATCATTTAGAATCCTTCTCTGTATGTCGCAGGTGTGGCTCTTGCTGTTGTTCTGAGTAGCGTCCGGCACATCAGTGACAATGTTTTTTTGGAAGCTGCAAAGGTAAATGAAAAAAGTTGTTTCAATGGCAGTGTTTTTGGTGGATCGTACATCAGGCAGAATCAATCACCAATAGAAACCAAATTCAAACAAAAGCTCTGTATTAAAAAGTTAAGTTGCTTCTTCAACTTAATAAAAGCACCTTTGATTTCACTGCCTGATCAAAGGAAGGCTTTCTTCTCTAATTCTGGGTGCCCCAACTGTATAGTTAAGAGCTGTGGTGGCGCAGTGGTTAGAGTACAGTACTGCAGGCTACCTCTGCTGCCTGCCGGCTGCCTGCAATTTGACAGTTTGAATCTCACCAGGCTCAAAGGTTGACTCAGCCTTCCATCCTTCCGAGGTGGGTAAAATGAGGACCCAGATTGTTGGGGGCAATAAGCCGACTCTGTAAACTGCTTAGAGAGGGCTGGAAAGCACTAGTGCTATTGCTGGTGCTATTGCTACAGGGCCAGGATGGGAGGTCTACTCTTGGATAAAATGCCTTATTTTTCTCCTCCTTCCTTTAAAAGACATTGTCCCAGCAGCTGAGTGAGGAAGAGCTGGCAGAGGGAAGACTCTATCCCACGCTTTCCAACATCAGAGAGGTGTCTATTAACATAGCTATAAGGGTAAGGACCAGTGGTGAAATCTAAAATTGGTTACTACCAGTTCTCTGGGCGTGGCTTGGTGGTGGTGGGGATAATGTGACTGGGTGAGCGTGGCCAATTTTTAAAAAAACTTTTAAAACCATTTTTTCTACAACCTCTTCAGCGAAGAGGTTGCAAAAAAAATGCTTTCAAAAGGCTCTGACGATCCCAGCTGAGTTGCCTGATCGTCAGAGGCTTTTTTTTCTTTTAAATGCCTCTGCTGATCAGGCAACTCAGCTTGGATCATCAGGCATCGTCTTGGATCGTCAGCTTGGATCGTCAAACTCAGCTTGATGATCAGGCAAGTCAGCTTGGATTGTCAGAGGCATTTAAAAGAAAAAAAAGCCTCTGATGATTGCGCGGCTCAGCTGGGCATGGGGGGGGGGCAGGGATTTTTGCTACTGGTTCTCCAAACTACCCGCCTCCATCGCTACCAGATCGGGCGATCCGGTCCGAACCGGGAGCATTTCACCCCTGGTAAGGACCCATTTCAGAAAACAAACAAACAAACCAAGAAATACAGATAGTCCTCAACATGCGACCACAATGGAGCCCTAGATTTCTGTTGTTGAGCAGGACCATTGCTAAGCGATTTGCCCCATTTTACGACCTTTCTTGCCACAGTTGTTAACCGAATCACCGCAGTTATTAAGTTAGCAAAACGGTTGTTAGGTGAATCTGGCTTCTCCATTCACTTTCCTTGCACTGAAAAAAAGTGATTTAGGACCGTTTTTCACACTTTTGTAAGTGCGTTGCAGCATCCCCATGATCACGCAATCAAAATCCGGCCGCTTGGCAACTGACTCGTATTGATGACCTATTGCCGTGTCCCAGGGTCACATGATCCCCTCTTGCAACCTTCTGACAAGCAGAAGGTCAATGGGGAAGCCAGGTTCATTTAACAACTGTGTTACCCACTTAACGACTGCAGTGATTCACTTCACAAATGTGGCAAGAACGGTCGTAAAATGGGGCCAAGCTCACTGATTGTCTCGTTTAGCAACAGAAACGTTGGGCTCCATTGTGGTCGTACGCCGAGGGCTACCTGCAATTTAAACTTTCCTTTTTCTTCCTTAGGTCATGGAATATTTATATGCCAATCATATGGCCTTCTATTACCCAGAGCCAGCAGACAAAACTCAGCACATACGATCGAGAATCTGGACTTCTGAGTATGAATCCTTTCTACCAGATTTGTATGACTGGCCAGTCTCATCGGACACAAGGCGTGCTTGAAATTCTGTTGGAAACCCCCCTGTCCAGAACAACATATGAAGTAGAACCGCCGAAGACCTAAAACTTTTCTTTTTGTGCTAAACTACAGAGCTGGGCGCCTCACCGACGCTGGATTTACTCCCTAGATTGGACTTCCTCTCTTCTGAGGTGCATTCCTATGGACGGTTGGGTTGTCTGCAACAGAAATGAAATTTAATATATTTTCTATTTCTCCCGGGGAAGCTAATTGAACAAATAAGGGAAAACCCTTAATTCTATTTTTTTTTTTTTTACTTTTGTTACTGGTCTGCGGTGTGATTAAGGTTTTTCTGTACTGTCTCGTGTATGACTGTAAACTGCATGGATTTACACCAAACAGATTAATTGAGAAGAGAATGTTAGTAAGTCAAGGAAAAGAGATTTGGCCTAGTCTCCCTCTCTCCCTCCCTCCCTCTCCTTTTTCACAGGAGAAGCATCCAGAAATGCTGTCCTCCCTTTATAGTCTACAAAAAAAACCCACCCCTAAGTCTTCATTCTGCTGGGAGCATAAATGGATGACCAAATTACTCCCATCCCATTTTTATACTGGTTCTGCCTTTCTGCAGCCTTGGTGGTTCCTGTAACTGCCCTTACGTGCTGAATTTTGTAGCATGAATCACACGAAGCCAGATTTACCGAAAGGAGAGGCTGTCCTGCTTCCTTACAGGGTGGATTCAAACATACAATTCTGTCTTCCTTAGCTCTACATTTTCTTCCTGCTGGGAAAATCAATCATGGTCAGCACACGCAATGCTGCCATCTCCTGGATCTGTGTGTGTCTGTCTATGTGCTCACATTCTGCACTTGAATAATTCAGCTTTGATAGTGGAACTTGCTGCATATCATTTCCCTGGCATTTGTTATATAGATGGGCTATTTTCCCCCCCTTTCTCTTTGTCTTTTTCAAGGTTTTGTTATTGTTGTTGTTCATGCTTAAACCGTAACACTCCTGAACTTAATGATGGCTGCTTTCCTCCCAGGTCTCTGTCCCATGGATCTAATAATTAGGGGGGGATGGAATGTGTGCCTTGTTGCACCCATCCTATGCCCGAAACCAGTGATGCTGAACCTTTTTTGGCACTGAGTGGCGAAAAGGGAACGTGCGCGTGTGCGATCGTCTGGACTGCAACCCGGAAGAGAGCTGCCCAGGGTACATGCACGCGGCCAAAAATGAACTTCCAGTTTCTGCCACATGTACGCGGGCTGGCCAGGTAGTGTTCCGGGGTTTTGGCACGCATGAGTGCGTGATGATCAGCTGGCTGGCGCTCACGCAGGAAAACGGAAGATCAGCTCTTCCAGTTTCCAGTACTGCAGCAGACAAAAAGTCCAGCTGATCATTGTTCGCGTACGCACACCAGAAACCCAGAAGAGGAACGGGCGACACCGCGAATGCCCAGGCGACATATGGCTCTGCGTGCCACTTTGGCATGCATGCCATAGGTTCGCTATCATGGCCCTAAACTAAAATTTCTCAATCTTAATCATTTTAAGATGTGCGAATTTCTATCCCAGAATTCCCCAGCCAGCATGCCTTAAAACAGGCAAGATTGAGAAACATTGCCCTAAAAAAAAGCAGATGGCACTCCAATAAAAAAATGATTTCTTTTTATCTCCAGGTAACCCAAAGGTGCTTTTTTTAGGTGGCAACTAGATTTTCTTGTTTTGTCTTTTTCACTTGTCATCCAAGAAGCCGCTTCAGCTCTGACAGGATAGTGGGGAACGGAAGGAATTAATATTCCTTGCAGACAGCTGGTCATCTGCATCCTTTTAGAGGGTCGTTGAAGAACTTGGAGGTTTACCTTTGTCTTCAGGGTCACCTGAGTGGTGCTCCTGGTTCCTGTGGTCTGCAATTTGGATGAGAAGTGAAAAAATAAGAAAGTCCAGTTGCCTCCTGAAAAAGCACCTTTGGGACAACCATGACCTGGATGACTGGGAATCTCTACAGATCTCCAGGTAACTTGGTTTGTGACACACATATTATATATGTCAGATCTGGGATCTTTTTACCATTTGTTTATTTATTTATTTGTCCGGTTGCCTTACCCTGTTTCTGGGAATCTGTTAACGATATAAGAGCTGCCCTCTTGGATAAGGTCAAATCCTCAATTTGCCTGTCCAATAATTTTTTTAAAAAAATGTCGACAGTGATAGCATCTCCATTTCCTCCCAATTAAATTCTACAGACTGCGCTTGTCTGCTAGGGAAGCCTGCTACTTGGATACAACATGAAAAAGTGGATGGTTTGACTTTTATTTTGTTTTATTCATCGGGGAATGCAAGCCCGATGTGAACGTCCCTAAGAGAAATGCAGCATTTTGACTTGAAATGATAATGAAGGGAGATGGTCTCAAAATGGTCTCTTTGCTGTCTGAGAGAAACTTCAGTTGAGCAAAAGGATTTCCATGTGGGTGCTTGACATATTCCTGCCATCTTTTCACCATAATTGGAAGTCTGTTTCATACCTTGTGCCTCTTAAAGTAAATTCATCCTGCGATCTTAAGAACGGGTCCAGTTTTCAGAGAGCAGGATGAATTTTCATATTATTTTGGCACCTGGAACATTCTCAGACCGGCTGACTAAGATTGCGTCTGGATTCAAATTTGGAATTGTAGTTTCGGCACACCTAGGCCAGCAGCTTGAGGAAGACTAGGTGAGACTGCACAATTCAACTCTTGTGTGATAACTATTGAGAAACATTATAACCTTGTTTTATTGGGCCCGACGAAAATATTTTGTAATAGACGTTCACCTGAATCGCAGGTTGTTGGTTTTTTTTCCCCCAGTTTGGTTAATCGGGAAAGGACTGAGTGATGTTACACGCCTATCTTGTTTTTTCAGAAAAGTGTCCTGTGCTATTAGCAATGTTTGTTTGTTCGTTTTCCTTTTCTGTATAATGTAGAAATACCGGCGAAACTGTACCGTTTTTATCTAGGGCGCTTCAAAAGTTGCCTTACATCAGTTGTACCTGCCCAAAGGGATGGTGTCTATTTGTAATGTAAGAAAACGTAAGAAATAATATGGGGTACTTTGTTACTCAGCTTTTAACATCCTTCAAAGGCTTTGTCTCAGAAATAATTGGGAAAGAATGTTGAATTCCGCTTCAAGAGGTCTTTTCTTCAAAGAGGTTCTCTTTCTGCTTTCATGGTTTTACACTCATGTACTTGTGGAAGATACTTGCACGCTCTCATGAAAAGATTTCCTAATGGTCCAAGAAATGAACATGGGTTGTGTAGTTGACCAGTGCCTGAGTAAACTATATGGGCTCATGATGTCCCTCAAGATAGTACATATGATTTAGATCAGGGGTCTCCAACTTGGCAACTTTAAGACTTGTGGACTTCAACTCCCAGAGTTCCTCAGCCAGCTTTGCTTTGCTGAGGAACTCTGGGGTTGAAGTCCACAAGTCTTAAAGTTGCCAAGCTTGGAGACCCCTGATTTAGATGAATTCATAATGACTTTCTACTTGTGAGTGGGAATTTATACTAGAAAGCACTGGCAGTATTTGCTAGACTGTACAATTCAGTATAAATTCAAGCAAAATAATATTTTATCCCATATACTATATCTACAAAGTTCTCAGTCGGGTTGGACTGCGCCATCAACAATGTTGGTCCTGGGATTTTAAGAGTCAAAGCCCAAATCATCTAAAGGAGGTTGAAGTTTAAGAAAGGCCCTGAATGCCTCAATACTCAAAATAACTTTAGCAAAAGATAGCTATCTGCAGTTTTTAATTGGTATAATTGGCTTTAAACATACAGTCTGTGAGCAGTCTATAAATGGTGCTTCTCGGCCTTGTCAACTTTTAAGTCATGTGGACTTCAATTCCCAGAATTCCCCAGCCATGCAGAAGTCTGGGAGTTGAAGTCCATATGTCTTAAAAGTAGCCAAGGATGAGAAGGACAGCTTGTATAAATTATGTACCATAGGTAGTTGGCTGAATTTGAGTAAATTACATGATTTAAATATTTTTAAATATTAGGTTCAGACGTATCTCTTGTTGACCTATACGTTTCAAGATGTACGAATTCCTACAGCGAGAGAAGTCTGCTTCGAACTGTTCATTCCAGTTCCACATGCCGTAGGAGATTATTATTATTTATTATTAAGTAGGAGGGGTTTTCAAATTCTAAATGCTCAGGACATACAAATGTCATGTGTATGTATGTTAGAAGTTTTTCATTTTAATCACAGTTTTCAGTTTTTAATCGCAAGATTCTTTTTGGGGCACTTAACCTTGTATGAGCTTCTTTTAGTCAAATTTGTAATAATACATTTTTATTGTAAACTACCCAAATTGGCAGTATAAAAATGTGATAAATAAAAAAAAAAAATTATGGACAAATACCATCTTTCTCTCCAACCCCCAATTTAGAGGTACTGTAATTTAGAAAATAACATAATATCACTTTGAGGAAACTTGATGAATAAATAACTGCCAAATTCTGCATTTTATCTTCTTCTTAGGAAACACTTTAGGAAAACTTTTGTGCTGTTTAAAAGTGTTTTTTAATTGAAAACATGTTCCCTTGCAAATGTATTCTCGTTTGAAAAAAATGGACATCCTGTCTATTCCATTCAGTTGATTTTATTTTGTTTGGGCCTCAAACGTGGTTTTATTTTTAGCACTTTTGATTTTTTTTTTTATGACGACAACTGATGCTGTGAGTTGCTTTTAACTTTCAACAGCTGTGTTGAATGATCTCCCTCGAGACCTCTTTGTGAGTATGATGGAAAATGAACGCCAATCCGAAGGCAGGGATATATATATATATTTTTTTGTAAATGTCACAATTTGGATTTTTGAATCCAAGAAGCTGGGTGGAGTTGGAGAGGAACTTAGCCGACTAGTAAACTTGGTTTAAAATCTCCTTTAGCATCATTATATCTAGTTCAGTGAAGAACTTGTTCACGCAAGCTGGAAACCAATAAGGCCATGTTTCGGAAGTTCCTGTTATGTCCCTTGGAATTGGCCCTAATTTGAGAGCATAGAAGAAAAAGGGACCAATTTCTTATATAGGCCAGTGTTTCTTTACCTCAGCCACTTGAAGGTATGTGGACTTCAACTTCCAGAATTCCCCAGCCAGCCCTGCTGGCTGGGGAATTCTGGGAGTTGAAGTCCACATACCTTCAAGTGGCTAAGGTTGAGAATCACTGTTATAGGTGAATAAAGACAAATGCTTCAGATCTCTTGCTTATAGTCTTGAAAACTTGAACAGGGAATAATGACATCCTGGTTAATGCTGATTAAGTAACATGTAGATTCCATTGATTATTCTATCACATAAAACATTTTCCTTCTTTATCTGCTCCAGCCGGATGACTGTAATTTTGAGAATGTGACTTCACGCAGGATTGCTGGATGCAGGAGGCTGCTCTAAAGCCTCTCGGAAGGGAATTTAAAGCAAATTATGCCTTGGTGGGGGGTATTTCTCCCAACTCTCAGGATCTTAAATTCCCCATCCTGCCCCCAGAATATTGTTTATTGCAAAGGAAGCCTTTGAAATTACACACACTCTGTTTCTAAGCTGCAAATGTTTTGATAATGTTGTAATTGTACCAAGAGACGAGCTGTGGTTTTGTCTATTTTCATAGTAAAAGCTTTTCCTTTTTGCCTACAGTTATGTGTGCAGTTGTTGTTTTTTGCTGAGTTGCACACAAGCCTCTTTTCAACTACAGCAAACACTCCTGCCGGAGTTGGTGGGTTATGTAGTTCCCAACAGCTCTGTAACAGTGGTGAAATCCTTGGAGGTTTGCCACCAGTTCGCTGTGTGCGGTGCGCGCTAAACACACACTGCGCACATGCACAGTGCACACCAAACATGTGCTTTGTGTGCATATGCAGTGCACGCCAAATGCATGCTGTGCACGCACATGCACAGTACGCATTCATGCTTTGCGCACATGTGCACCGCATGCGCTACCGTGCAGCGCAGAAAAAGGCTTAACAAGGTAAGTAGAACAGCGAGGGGGGAAACAGCTGTGCTGTGCGATTCAGATTCACTAGAAAGAAGGATTTCCTGCTTTCTAGCCAATATAAATTGCACAGCACAGCTGATTGTTGGAAATACCAGTTCAGACGAACTGGTAGCATTTTTTATTACCGGTTCACCTGAACCGGTGCGAACCAGTAACATTTCATCCCTGCTCTGGAAGAATCCAAAGTTAGGAAGAAGTTGCATTAGTAGAATTTCTAGATAGCTGTTCAGCTTCTGATATCGCCACATCCTGGATCAGCACAAAGTAAAGGATAGTGAAGCCTAAGTGGATATGGCAGGAAAGATATGCAGATAGTCCTCAACTTATAACAGTTCATTTAGTGACTGTTCAAAGTTAAAACGGCACTGAAAGAAGTGACTTATGACTGTTTTCCTCATTTCATTTCATTTTCATTTTATTAGATTTATATATCGCCCTACTCCTGAAGGACCCAGGGCAGTGAACAGCCAGAAAGATAAAACACACAAACTACAAAATTTAAAAGACAATATAAAAACCCATTAAATAATTTGGCCCAAAAGAATTTAAAACACCCCTAATGTTTTAAAACCAACTTAAAAGTTACAGTTAAAAGGGAGGTTAGGCCAGGCCAGCCTGTTGAAATAAATAGGTCTTGAGGGCACGGCGGAATGTGTGTAAATCCGGGGTCCTCCGTATCTCCGGGGGGAGCTCATTCCAGATAGCAGGTGCCCCCACAGAGGAGGCTCTCCCCCTGGGGGCCGCCAGTAGACACTGTTTGGCCGACGGCACCCTGAGGAGCCCCTCTCTATGTGCACGTACTGGCCGGTGAGAGGCTATTGGTGGCAGAAGGTGGTCCCGTAAGTACCCTGGTCCTAAGCCATGGAGCGCTCTAAAGGTGGTAACCAAAACCTTGAAGTGCACCCAGAAGACCACCCGGAGCCAGTGCAGCTTGCACAGGAGAGGTGTCACATGGGAACACCATGTCGCTCCCATAACCACCCGCGCGGCCGCACTCTGAACCAGCTGGAGCCTCCGGGTGCTCCTCAAGGGGAGCCCCATGTAGAGAGCATTACAGTAGTCCAGGCGGGAAGTGACGAGGGCATGAGTGACCGTGCAAAGGAGTCCCGATCCAGAAAGGGATGCAACTGGCATAATCGCAAATGGCGATTATCTGACGACACAATAAGAGTGGCAAAATAATTACATTTTGCCGCTTTTATCGCCACTAAGTAAGTCTTAATATGAGACCTTACCAGTGTTTGGTCGGCTTCAGAAAGGCTTTCCCTCCAACTGCTCTCCAGGCGTCTTCCAGCCCTTCATCTCCCTCAGCTCCTTGGTAAACCAAGGAGCCAGGTGAGACCGGCGCCGGGTCAGAGGCCGCAAAGGCACGACCCGATCCAAAGCTCCAGCGGCCGCCCTATTCCAGGCGGCCACTAGGTCTTCAGTCGAGGCGTGAGCCAGAGCCTCAGGGAATGGCCCAAGCTCCGTCTGGAACCTATCAGGTTCCATCAGGCACCTGGGGCGGAACCATCTCATCGGTTCCGCCTCCCTGCGGCGGGGTATGGTGGTTCAAAGGTCAAAGCGAAGGAGGGAGTGATCCGACCATGACAAGGGCTCAATCGTTATATCCTCTATCTCAAGATCACTCATCCACTGACCAGAGACAAAAACCAGGTCCAGCATGTTTCCCCCCGTGTGAGTAGGGCCATGAACTAACTGGGTCAGGTCCACAGCCATCATGGAAGCCATGAACTCCTGAGCTGCCTCAGACATCTCACTGATGGATGGCAGGTTAAAATCCCTCTCACAATCCTCACAGCTATTGCAGTATCCTTATGCTGATCAAAATTCACTCTTGGCAATTGACTCACATTTATGACGGTTGCAGCATCCCGGGGGGGTCATGTAATCACTTTTCCTGACCTTCTGATAAGCAAAGTGAATGGGGAAGCCTGATTCACTTAACAACCAAGTTACTCACTTAACAATTGCAGTCATTCACTTAACAACTGAGGCAAGGAAGCTCATAAAATGGAGGCAAACTCACTAAACAAGTGTCTCACTTAGCAGAAATTTGGGAATCAATTGTGGCCGTAAGTCGAGAACTATCTGTACATGCCCAGTGTTCTCAGTGGCTGCAAAATTCCTAATGACCATGAAAAGGTGGCAAAGGGCCTTTCCTGTACAGATAGTCCTAAATTTAGGGCCAGAATTGGGGCCAGAATTTCCATTGCTAAGCCAGGCGATTGTTAAATGTGTCTCACCCAATTTTAGGATCTTTTTGTCACAGTTGTTACGTTAATCACTGCGGGTATTAAATGAATTGTGCAGCCATTAATTAAATTTAGCTTCCCCCATTGACTTTGCTTGTTGGAAACCGTCTGGGAAGGTCTCAAATAGTGATCCCATGACCCCCGGGATGCTGCAACCCTCTTAATACACGGCAGTTGCCAAGCATCCAAATTTTGACCACATGACCATGGGGACTGTGTGACAGTCATGTGAGGGCCAGGCAGAAATCACTTTTTTTCAGTGCCATTATAATAGTGTTGGCGAACCTTTTTGACCCCGAGTGCCGAAATGGGGGCGCGCACCAGAAATCGGAAGAGCAGCCACTGGGTGCGCATGCGCGTGCCGGGAAGATGATCTTTCAGTTTGTGGCGTGTGCATGCGCATCGGCCATCCTGTCTTCTGGTTTCTGGCATGCATGTGTGTATGAAGGACATCTGGCAGTTGCGCATGCGCGCGCTGGAAACTGGAAAATCATCTTCCTGGCGTGCACATGCGGATCAGGCAGCTGCTGTTCCAGTTTCTGCTGCTCCTGCACGCGTGAAGACCAGCCGGCTGGCGCTCCGAAACCCAGAAAAGCAACGGGCGATAGTTCGCATGCCCGGAGAGATGGCTCTGTGTGCTACTTCTGGCACGTGTGCCATAGGTTCGCCATCACGGCACTATAACTTTGAAATGAATGGTTGCAAGTTGAGGAGTACTATACCCGTATTTCTGCTGCCATCTACTCGTAGTTCCAATTGTTGCAGCCCAGATATGGTAGCAGTAGCTGTGTTTCCCAACCTGACCCACTTTCAAGAAGTGTGGACTTCAACTTCCAGAATGCCCCAGCCAGCATGGCCGTTGCTAAGCATTCTGGGTGTTGAAGTCCACAGGTCTCAAAATTGCCAAGGTTGGGAAATGCTACTATAGCTTAAAACGGGTGAAACCCGCCCAGTTCAGACCGGATTGCCCGATCCGGTAACGATGGCGGTGGGTGGTTCAGAGAACCGGTCGCAAAAATTCCTGCGCACCCCCCCCCATGCCCATGCCCAGCTGAGCCACACGATCATCAGAGGCTTTTTTTTTTTTACTTTTAAAAGCATTTTTTCTATAACCTCTTCCGATGAAAAAATGCTTTTAAAAGTTTTTAAAAAAGTCTCCGATGATCGCGCGGCTCAGCTGGGATCATCAGAGGCTTTTCAAAGCATTTTTTTCCTGCAACCTCTTGGCCAAACAGGTGGTAAAAAAAAAAATGCTTTGAAAAGTCTCTGACGATCCCAGCTGAGTTCCTGATCGGCAGAGAGGCTGTTCAAAGCATTAGAAAAAATGCTTTGAAAAGTTTTTTTTTTAAAAAAGTTGGCCATGCCCATCCAGTCACATTACCCCCCCACCAAGCCACGCCCACAGAACCAGTAGTAACAGATTTTACATTTCACCCCTGGCTTAAAGCGCTGCCATTCCTAAGGAAAAGACAGCTAAATGGGTACTAGTGAGAATATAGTGCCTTCATTAAATTTATATCCTTTTCCCACTCTGACTAGTGCTCAAGAGGATTAACTGAAATACATGTAAGTTATATTGCTGATTATAAAACCCTCTCAGGAATAACAAGAATGCCAAGGAGATTTAAACCAATTTTAACAATTTACCTCATTGCAGCAGTGGTAGAGTTTTATTATGCCTTTACAGCTAACCATGGTAAATAAGATGATTCAGACAATAATACATGAATCATTCCCTCATAATTTGAGCTCCTAAATAAAAGGTACATGGCATGTAATATTAGCCGCTGTTTCTTCAGAGTCACAGGTAAAAATTTAAAGTCTCATGCCCGGCCCAAAGCAGAATTCAAATCTTTTTTTTTTTCATTCCCACCCGAATTGCATTTTGAAATTGGAAACAGGGACTTATTTTTCTAAGATTCCCCACTATTATTGGAAACCAAACGGCCTTCTGATTACATAACTCATTTCATTTTCATGGCCCCTTCCTCCACCCCCGTGAGAGGAAAGAGCTGGAATGGCATTAACAAAAATAAATTAAAAAAAAAAAGATGTGCAGAGAAGAGCAAAAAAGATGATTAGGGAGCTGAAGGCTAAACCATACAAAGAATGGTTGCAGGAATTGGGTTTGTCTAGTTTAATGAAAAAAAGGACTAGGGGTGACATGATAGCAGTCTTTCCAATATTTGGGGAGCTGTCACAAATTTTTTTGTAAACAAGTGTTGGAAGAAATGTCCATCTGGGTTCAGTTCCAAGACACTGGAAACATGGAGACTGATTGGAAAGATGGATTTTAATGGTGGACAGGACCACATGGGTGAGAGAGATAGATTTATACCCCCTTTTGCAGTGGTGAAATCCAGCCGGTTCTATCCAGCTCACGCGAACAGGTAGCGCCGGCAGCGGGAACCTCCGCCCACCCGCCGGGATGTCATTACGTCCCATTTTTGACCTTCTGCGCAGGCACAGAAGTGGGGCGTGTGCTCCCATTCCCGAACTGCTAGCAAAGGTAAGTGGATTTCACTGCTCTGTTGGGCTTTGAATTTGAGCTTTTGTTCTGATTGGTTGTCAGACTCCCATGGGGCCACGCAGGGGTAACTTTGTAGGTTGTCTTTTGAGTCCCAGGCTTGGTTGACTCTTGCTGGGTGATGATGTAATGAAAGGGCTTTGGGCAATTCCTACTGTGGCTCTGCCTGAAGGAAGTAGATCTTTGTTATGTAGAATAGACGGGGCCCAGGCTTTAATGGCCCATTGACAAAGGTGGGGGGCTGAGTAGCTGCCTCCCTTTTAGGGGAAATATTCTTCCCTTTTAATATTTCCTAAAATCTCTCATTTTCCTAGGAGAGGGGTGGGTGCTACACAAGCAAAGTCAATGGGGAAGCCAGATTCACTTAACAACCCGTGTTACTATCTTAACACCTGCAGTGATTCACGTAACTACTGTGAAAAGAAAGGTCATAAGATGGGGCAAAAAACTCAACTGTCTCACTTAGCAACAGAAATGTTGGGCTCCATTGTGGTCGTAAGTCGAGGATTACCTGTATACCAGTCTATGTGGTCACTAGGCATCAAAAATGACTTGATGGTACAAACCAATCAATCTTCCTCCCCCCCCACCCCACTCCCCAGTTTAAATCCTACATCAGTCTGGCCACTCTGAGCATCTGATGAAAGGAGCTGCATCTTACTCATTCTTACGCCTCGTCGTAAAACTGGAAAAGATGCAGTAAAAAATGTAATAAAAAATATTAGAATGTGCTGAGATGGATAGATTAACACTTAAAAGAAAAGGAAGAAACTGAATTCTTTTTAACATGGGATATATTTTACCAATGGTTAACTAACAAAACAGTTTAGAATTTAAAAAGAATTTAGCATAGCATAGCATAGAATAACAGAATTGGAAGGGACCTTGGAGGTCTTCTAGTCCAACCCCCTGCTTAGGCAGCAAACCCTACACCACTTCAGACAATTGGCTATCCAGTCTCTTCTTAAAAACTTCCAGTGTTGGAGCATTCACACCTTCTGGAGGCAAGTTGTTCCACTGGTTAATTGTTCTCACTGTCAGGAAATTTCTCCTTAGTTCAAAGTTGCTTCTCTCCTTGGTAGGTTTCCACCCATTGCTTCTTGTCCTGCCCTCAGGTGCTTTGGAGAAGAGCTTGACTCCCTCTTCTTTGTGGCAGCCCCCGAGATATTGGAAGACTGCTATCATGTCTCCCCTAGTCCTTTTCATTAAACTAGACATACCCAGTTCCTACCACTGTTCTTCATATGAAGATTTAAAGAGATAATAAAAATTTGTTTTGAAAATATTGCAAGTTGGACAAACTAATTGCTTTATTATTTTAAGATTAATATTGATGTTTATTAAGATTACTAGTATGATTATGGTTATTGCTGTACCTTTACCTAAAATTAATTATGCCCAGACAACACTCTGTTCAGATAGACATGGAATTTTTTTTTATGTTTTTTATGTTTTTTTATGTTTTTAATGAAAAAAAATGTACCAATAAAGCATATATTAAAAAAAATCAGACTATTATAAAATATGGAATAATTGGTATAATTGGTTAAAAAATAGAAATATACAAAAAATATAGGGGATATATTACCGATTGATACATATATATGTAATAAAAATATTATTAGATTAAAGAGAGGTGAAGGAATATATTATAAGTAGAATTGTAGAACGTCACTCTGAAAAAATGCTTAAGAAGAAATTACACTCTTTTTGTGTATATGTTGTATAAATGTTTGTTGTGTATATGTTATGTATGTCTTTTTTAATATTTATATTCAATAAAAACTATTTAAAAAAAAATAAAAAAAATGGAAAAGTTGCTAGAAGACTCTTGATGATTATTATTATTATTTGATCCTCTGAACTAACGTGCCCAGCGTAAACAAGCTGGAGCTCCTGCAATTCTTTCCAACTTGGCATGGCCAGAAGAGGCTCATAATTTTACATTTTACAAGAAGTTTACCAAAGGCTGAGTAAAGGAGACGCGGGCGCATCCGATGTTGTGTTGCAGTGCCTGTCTGAAGTTGGCGGCGTAGCTGTTGAGCCTGGGCGCGCTGCGTTTCTACTTCCGCTGGTGTTGCACCTCTTAACACGTGGATCCGGGCGCACCGGGGCTGCCTTTGCAAAGCTCTGCTTTGAGTCGCGGCCCGGGAACTGAGAGGGCGGGGGTAAGAACGGAGCCGTCGCCAACGTTCTGCCAGGTTTCCCACGCGCTCTCCCAGGGAGGGGGCAAAAAAATGGGAATTTTGCAAGATTTATTGCTTATTCCTCCTCCTATCGATCCAGATCTTCCTTGCCCTGGGGCCGCCCCCCCCATCTACCCCCCCCACCCCAAGGCTCCCCTATTCCCATCCACTTTGGGGAGTGGAGGGGGGGGGGGAGAAAAAAGGAACTAAAGGAACCCAGCGCCTTTTTCATCCCTTTCTTTCTTAGAAGGAATAAGAGGGGGCAATCTCCCCCCTCCCCGCATATACCGCCCCCCCCACCTCTTCTTATTCCGACCCCCGACCCCCTCTTCTTCCCCCAAGCGGGCTGGTTAGTTATATGTTGCCTTTGGATCTGGTGTGGTGGGATATAGCCTGGCTAGGTGGCTCAGTGGCTAAGACGCTGAGCTTGTCGATCAGAAAGGTCGGCGGTTCGAATCCCTAGTATAGGTCTCCTGCGTGAGCAGGGGGTTGGACTAGATGACCTTCAAGGTCTCCACTTTGTTACTGTTAACTGATATTAAGGGGACAGGATCCTGCCAGGGCGGGAAAAAAAAATAACTTCCGATCGTTTCTTCTCTTCCATGCAACCAGGGTGGATTTGATTTAAATCGAGTTGATTTAAATCACAATTTAAATCATGATTTAAATCACTAGCAAAAATCAACTCGATTTAAATCATAATTTTTAAAGAGCAACTGTCATCTCTGCTATTCCTTTGACCCGCTGTTGACTCACCGATAGTCCCAGTGTTGCAGAATATACAGCCTCATGCTACATAACTAAGCTCCATTTCATGCTGAATAAACTAAATTATTTATGTATCTTAAACAGAAAACTATCTTACGATAGATTTTTACCCCCAAAGTTTTTTATTAAAATAAATTCAATAAAAATAAAAAAAATCTGATTTAAATCAAAAAAATCCGATTTAAATCAAAAAATCTGATTTTTTTAAAAAAAATCATTGATTTTTATCCACCCTGCATGCAACTAAGCACAGCAGCCTTCTTTCCTTCCTTCTTCTTTCCTTCCTTCCTTCCTTCCTCCCATCTCGCCAACGCTTCAGCCCCAGAACCTGAATTGTTGCCCACCACTTCTTCTTTTTTTTTTAATTGGTGGAGCCGGTTTTCCCGGCCTGCCCCGAGTTTCCTGTCCGACGGATTATTTTTTCCTCTTGCTGTGTTTCGACATACGGTTTAGACCAGAGGTCTTCAAACTTGGCAGCTTTAAGACTTGTGGACTTCAACTCCCAGAATTCTCCAGCCAGCATAGCTGGAGAATTCTGGGAGGCTGGAGAATTCTGGGAGTTGAAGTCCACAAGTCTTAAAGCTGCCAAGTTTGGGGACCTCTGGTTTAGACATAGTGGGTGGTGGAGCGATCAAGCCACGGAGACCTCTCTGCGTGTGGGGGCAGCCGGTGGGTAGAAAAGAGTCTGTAGCGAGTGGATTATTTATTTATTTACTTACTTACTTAGTCTGTAGGGAGTGGATTATTTATTTATTTATTTATTTACTTACTTACAGTAACAGAGTTGGAAGGGACTTTGGAGGTCATCTAGTCCAACCCCCTGCTCACTTACTTAGTCTGTAGCGAGTGGATTATTTACTTAATTACGTACTTAAATTTATGTATGTATGTATGTATGTATATATGTATGGCACTAGAAGAAGAGGGCGAGAACAGGAAAAATAATAATACTACCGTAAAAAGCCACGAAAACGTAAACCACTTTTGTATGAAGCCAAACTGAACTTGCAAAAAGAGTCAAGTCAGGTTGCAACGAGTTAATCATGGTTAGCATTTAAGTCTGTTTTTGCTTTAGGAGAAAAAAAAGAGAATGGGCATAAAAGCTGGAATGCAGGCAGTCCTCGACTTCCGACCACAATTGAGTCAGTTGCCAAGCGTCTGAATTTTGATCATGGGAATGATTCAATGGTCCTAAGTGTGGAAAAACAGTCATAAAGTCACTTTTTTTAGTGCGGTTGTAACTTTGAGCAGTCACTAAACAAACAGTTGTGAAGTGAGGAATACTTGTATTGTGGTTGACGTTGAATCTTTATTAAGGAATGGCTTACAACTGAAATGGCAAAGTACATTTTTTAAGAATATCATTTTGCTGAATGCAATGTGTGGGTGATTGGATGTATGTGTTTTATTCCTAGCTGAAAATATTCCTGGAATGACTTACACGAGATCAAGTAGAATAATAATAAAATAGAAATGTAATCCAGACTTACTATCTAAATAACTGGTTTTTCCAATCTTGTGTTTTTTAGTTGTTCTGGATTTAATTTTCATAATTCACAACCTTCAGCCACAGTGGTTGAAAACTAAAGATGAACCCTAAGGAATCGGGTGGAGGCTGCAGTGAGAAAACACAGAGATTTTTTTTTTTAAGTGATGAAGAGGATAGAAGAATGAAGTGGGAAACCATCAGTTCTTAAATACTGGGATTGCCATTTGGAAGTACCGTAAGTCTTGTTTTCTTTCCTTTTGACATCTAGTATTTTTTATTTGAAGGGACGTGGTGGCTCAGTGGCTTAGACGCTGAGCTTATCGATCGAAAGGTCGGCAGTTCAGCAGTTCAAATCCCTAGGGCCGCGTAATGGGGTGAGCTCCCGTTACTTGTCCCAGCTTATGCCAACCTAGCAGTTCGAAAGCATGTAAAAATGCAAGTAGAAAAATAGGAACCACTTTGGTGGGAAGGTAACAGCGTTCCGTGCGCCTTTGGCGTTTAGTCATGCTGGCCACATGACCATGGAGACGGCTTCGGACAGCGCTGGCTCTTTGGCTTTGAAACGGAGATGAGCACCGTCCCCTAGAGTCAGGACCGACTAGCACATATGTGCGAGGGGAACCTTTACTTTTACCTTTATTTTTTATTTAAAACTTTTGACATCTAGTAGTTTTATTTAAAAAATCAAGCCAGGTGACCACATCCAGATCTGATTGTCCAGGTATCTTTCTTTTCTTTTAGTTGTCCCTGTGCCTTTGAGAAAAATGTCCATGGATGTAACATTTCTGGGGACAGGGGCTGCGTATCCATCTCCAATGAGAGGGGCCTCGGCTACGGTAATCCGTTTTGAAGGAGAATGCTGGCTGTTTGATTGTGGCGAGGGAACCCAGACGCAGTTTATGAAAAGTAATCTGAAAGCAGGTGAGTTGCAGAGGTTATAAATAACTTCCCAGCTCCTAGGAGAAGTTGCAATTCTGGTCATTTGCAGAATGAGATAGTGATTTTTTTTTGGTAGGCAAATCCTGGGAAACATTATGATGGAAAGATAGTTTTTGACTTATAATCAAGGTTTCGGGATCTCTTTTGTCCCTCCCCCCCCCAAGACATTGCTTTGTTGATTCATAAGACTGACAGCTACTTTTGCCTTGTTGATTTACACATCTGGTAGTTCTTGATGGGATTTGGGGAAGGGTTTCCCATGTGCTGAGGCCTAACTTCTTTTGTCTGGTTTTAGGTAATACATTTTTTTGTTTTCTTAATAACTCAGTTCCTTTTTATCTATCTCCTAAAGGGATCTTTTAGACCAGGGGTGTCAAACTCAATTTCATTGAGGGCTACATTGTGTTTGACCCAGTGGTGAAATTCAATTTTTTTTACTACCGGTTCTGTGGGTGTGGCTTGGTGGGTATGGCAGGGGAAGGATACTGCAAAATCTTCATTTTCACCCTACTCCAGGGGAAGGATACTGCAAAATCCCCATTCCCTCTGCACTCCTGGGGCAAGGATACTGTAAAATCTCCATTCCTGCCCCACTCTGGGGCTAGCCAGAGGTGGCATTTGCCAGTTCTCCGAACTATTCAAAATTTCCGCTACCGGTTCTCCAGAAACTGCTGGATTTCACCTCTGGTTTGACCTTGGGAGGGGCCATGGCCAGCTCTATGTCACTCGTGTCACGGGTGGTGGCCCAAGAGCTCTGCCAGCAAAAACAGGCTCCCAAGCTCCATTTTCGCTGGCAGAGGCCACTGTAGGCCAGTCCTTCGCTATTTCTAGGGTGGCCCCGTGGGCCAGATCTAAACACCCCGTGGGCCGGATCCAGCCCCTAGGGCTTGAGTTTGACACCCCTGTTTTAGACAAGATTCCTGGCCATCCATCCTGCTTATGTGCCTGCATCGTCTTTAGATATGGTAGTTTAGGCCTAATCTCACAAGGTGATCTACCCCTGTGCTAAGGAAGGGTCTCCAAGCTTTTGGGCTCTGCAGACTGGTAGCAACGTGTGTGGGAGAGGGGATGGTTTTGTAAGTGCATGTGCCACTTGTGCAAATGCAGCTTCGTGTGCGTGCTTGCTCGCCACTTGCATGGCCTGATTCCCAATGGGCCACAGCCCAGTACCGAGCCATGGGCCAGGGATTGGGGACCCTTGCGCTAAGGTACGATGCTAAAAATAAAGCAGACATCCGAGTGAGCATTAGCATTAGCATTCGACCTTCCTTCTCAGTCTTTGTTCTGTTGCTTTTATCTCCTATTTGTTTTCAATTTTCAATCTTACGTTGTTAGGAAAGATTACCAAGATTTTTATAACTCATCTGCACGGGGACCACTTCTTTGGCCTTCCTGGACTGTTGTGTACAATCAGCCTGCAGTGTAGTCCAGACGGCAACAAGCTGCCGGTGGATATTTATGGACCCCTTGGGATAAAGGATTTTCTCCAGAGAACCATGGCACTTTCCCGTTCCCAGCTGGTTTTCCCTTACGTGGTCCACGAACTGGTTCCCACACCCAACCAGTGTCCTGAAGAAGAATGGGATGATGTGTTTTCCGGGAAGCGAGATGAGGACAGCTGTCCAGAGCCACAAGGAGACATTATTTGTCTGAATCCTGCAGACGACTCGTACCTCTTGGTGGATGGTGGGCAGGTCGTGATAAAGGCGTTCAGATTGTTTCACCGTATACCTTCCTTTGGGTTTCTGGTGGAAGAGAAGCCACGGACCGGCAAACTCAACGCTCAGAAATTGAAGGAATTAGGTAGGAGGGCATCCAGCTCTGCTGAGTACTAATACTATAAATAATATATATCATATATATATAATATAATAATGTTATATAGTATATAATATACATACAGTCAGTCCTTGACTTACAACTATTCGTTTAGTGACTGTTCAGAGTTACAGGGGCACTGACAAAAGTAATGTATGACCGTGTTAAATTTAAATTTACCGACAAAGAAATAAAGGGAGACTAGTATAGCTATTTCACACACAGTGTTTCTCCAAAAAGACAACCCACCTTGAAAAGAAGCCCTATCATGTTTTTGAGCACATGCGCTCAAATTAAGCCCCATCTACAAAATTAGCCCTAATTAAGATGGGATGCAGGGGGTGGGGCGAGGCACACAGGTAAAAAATAAGCTAGGCTGGGGATAGGGGGGGTGGAGCTGCCCTACTTACCAGGCCTCACACACCCGACACCTGCCTCGCCTTCTTTGGCCGCTTGCCACCACTCGCACGCATTGCCCTGGCCTCTGTTTCACCTTCAGATACCTGCTGCCATTTGTTATCTGCAGCTGATAACAGAGCTCTGGATCGATCCGGAGCTCTGTTATCGGCTGCAGATGCCTTCCGGCAGGCATCTGAAAACAAAACAGAAGCCAGGGCGATGCGTGCGAGTGGCGGCAAGGGGCCGCAGAAGAAGTAGGCCAGCAGCGGGCTCCTGCTGGGCGGGGCTGTTGGTGTCATTCGCTGAAAGGCGAAAGCGGGAGCATTATGCTCCGTCCCATACTTGGGTAGACCAGGTTGCCCTGATAGACCATTCTCTCCAGAAACACACTTAACGTATGACCGTTTTTCACACTTACGACCATTGCAGCATCCCTTGGTCACATGAACAAAATTCGGACCCTTGGCAACTGTTTCATATTTATGATGGTGGCGATGTCCCGGGGTCATGTGATCACCTTTTGTGAGCTTTACAACTGTGTTACTATCTTAACAACGGCAGTGAATTGCTTAACAACTGTGGCAAGAAAGGTGGTAAAATGAGACAAAACTCACTTAACAATGGTCTCGTTTAGCAACAGAAAGTTTGGGTTCAGTTGAGGTCATAAGTTAAGGATTACCTGTAAAAGCCGATATTTCCAGAAAAGTAGTCTTAGAAACTGGCTTTTAGGTTACTTTCAACCAGCCTGAAATATGGTTGCCTGGATCAGAATTCAGTTCAGGAATAATGGAAGGGAAAGGGAGAAAAAAAGACTCTATTGGTGATTAGACAAAGCATGCATTTGGTGTGATACAGATACCTGCAATTCCCTGTGGCTAAATCACTTATTTTCTTAAAACTATGACCAGAAAAATTACCATGTAAGTCAGGTATGTCAAACTCAAGGCCCGCGGGCTGGATCTGGCCCATGGGTGCTTAGATATGACCACAAGATCTGGAAACAGCAATGGACTGGCCCGTGGTGCCTCTGCCAGTGGCTCCACCACACTCCGTTCGGCTGCAGGAGGCCGTCGCGGCTGAAAATGGGGCAAGGGGGGGCGATGTGTGGCCTCACTGAATTCCGTTTTCGCTGGCAGGGGGTTGCAGGAGGCTGTCACGGCCAAAAATGTGGTGTGGGGGGCCACGTGTGGCCCCACTGAACTCTGTTTTCACTGGCGGGGCTGCAGGAGGCCGTCACGGAGGAAAATGTGGCGCAGGGGGCTGCGTATGGCCCCACTGAACTCCGTTTTTGCTGGCAGGGGCTGCAGGAGGCCATTGAGGCCGAAAATGTGGCACGGGGGGGCGCACACTTTGCCGCACATTTTCACTGACAGAAGGCTAATTAAAAATGAAAAAGGAGAAATGTTTCCCCTTTTGCATTTCAGCATGCAAGAAGAGACAGGAAAGGAGAAAGGGAAAGAGAAAAGACAAAAGAAAAAGATGGGAAGATGGGAAGAGAGCAAGGAAGGAAAAATAAGGAAAGAGGGGAAGGAAGGGGGAGAATGAAGAGGGAAGGAAAAAGAAGAGGAAGAAAAGGAAGGAAGGGAGGGAGATTATAATGAGAGTGAAGGAGGGTCTAAGGGAAGTCCTGCCTTAGCACTTGGCCACCACAGGTGTCCCATGTCACGCCCACCATGGCCACGCCCACTCACACTCCGGTCCTCCAAGGTCAAACACAACCCTGATGCGGCCCTCAATGAAATAGAATTTGACACCCCTCATGTAGGTTATTTGCAGCAGGATCAACAAAAGATTTTATGTGCTAACAATAGAGACTAATCAATGTATATGCTTTTGTGCATTGTATCTTCAGAGGCATGGAGTATATTATCAGTACTCCACATGCCTGCAATTAAAACCACCCCACATAGGAGGTCAATACAGGGAGTCCCCGTTTAGTGACCATGATTGGGAATGGCAATTTGGTTGTTAAGTGAAACCATTGCTAAGTGAAACCATGACGGTGCTTGCAATCTGATTTTAGTTTTCTTTTGCTTTACGGACCTGCAAAAGGTGTAAATGTGAGAACTGGTCCCAGTTACTTTTTCATCACTGTTGTGACTGCAAATAGTTGCTAAATGAGGCAGTCGCTAAACGAGGACTACCCATATTATTTTACTCTGGGAAAACTGAAAAGAGAGATTTTCAGTTCCGTCTCTATATCACCAGCTGAACTAGACTGAAATTCTGCAGCACTTCTGGTGATATCACATGCGTGACTATGACACATAGCTTGGTGATTAATAGCTTTCCGAGCAGATGAAATGTACAATTCCTACTTGAACTCATTATTTCTTCCTCCCCCCCACACCGCAAAAAATACTCAAATGTTCAAAAAGGATACTAGAAGGAAAAGATTGTCGGTGAGATGGCAAGTGAAAGCACGAGAGTCGGTGCAATACTTAGACGGATAATAATAACTGAGAGAAAAAAATGGTTTAGATTTCATGTGCACCATTTTAAACCCAAGTATTCATAAGGTCTAGAAACTTGATCGCTTTAAAAAGGGACGGTTGTTGAAAGTTAGGGGTGTGGAGTTATTGTGCGAGAGGCCTCTTTTTTAAAAAAACAAAAAATAAACCGCACAAAAGTTAATTTTATTCCTGTTCTTGAATTTCTAGGAATTCCGCCAGGCCCCTTATATGGGAAATTGAAAGAAGGTGTTCCGATTACTCTGGAAAATGGGACAACCATTTCTCCTACGGATGTCTTAGACAGTCCTTGTCCTGGAAGAAAAATTTGTATTTTAGGAGATTGTTCGGGTGTGGTTGGGGACGGGGTGACGTCGCTTTGCTCTGACGCCGACATCTTGATACATGAAGCCACCCTGGATGACAGCCAGATGGACAAAGCCAAAGAACGTGGCCACAGCACGCCCAAAATGGCCGCCGAGTTTGCTAAGCTGTGCAAAGCGAGGAAGCTGGTGCTATTTCATTTTAGTCAAAGATATAAGCCCGCGAATCAGATAGGGGAAGGAGACGCAGACGTTACCGAGCTGAAAAAGCAAGCGGAGATAGTTTTGAATGGACAAGAAGTGGTGCTGTCTGAGGATTTTATGACAATTAGTATCCCAGTGAAAAAACCAAAATAGGACCCCTGGACAACAAAATGGAAATTAATTGGCGGATGTGCAAAAACTCTCCAGCCGTGACTTGTGTTTCAGGTGTTCATCGTGGAAGGGACCGAAGGAAGTCAGGTTTGAATTAGGAGGATGGGCCTCTTTGTATGAACATCTGTTCTTTATTGCGTCCAATATTTCTGATGCATTTGTAATGTTGACACGGATTAAAAGTGCTTTGCGTGCTAGGCTTCTCTCTGCCTTCCTTGTAAGGCAAACTCTCTTGTGTTTTAGCTACTTGGAATTGAGGACCTCATGAATGAAGGCTGCAGGGTTTTTTTAAACGGTTAGAAATAGAGGTAGTCCTCGACTTACGACCACAATTGAGCCTAAAATTTCTGTTGTTAAAGTGAAACATTTGTTAAGTGAGTTTTGCCTCATTTTACTGTCTTTCCTGCCAATAGTTGTTAAGTGAGTAATTGCGGTTGATAAATTAGTAACGTGGTTGTTAAGAGAATCTGGCCTCCCCATTGACTTTGTCAGAAGGTTGCAAAAGGGGATAAGAAAGGGCCTGGTGGCTCAGCAGACTGATAGCATTGTGATTAACACCAGCTGTCTACAATTACTGTAAGTTCGAATCTCGCCAGGCTCAAGGTTGACTCAGCCTTCCATCCTTTCTAAGGTAGGTAAATTGAGGACCCAGTTTGTGGGAACAATAAGATGACTTTGTATAAAAATATACAAAAGTATGAAGGCTATTGCTTAATGCATTGTAAGCTGCCCTGAGTCTCCGGAGAAGGGCGGCATATAAATCAAATTTAAAAAACAAACAAACGTGACCCTCAGGACACAGCAACGGTCATAACTATGAATCGACTGCCAACCATCTGAATTTTCTGGCTTAACTCATTTTTACTGAGTTATAAAATATTATAAGATACAAAATACAAAAGTAAATAGGAAAACTGGGGAGGAAGAGGGGGAAGAGAAGTGAGGAAGGATAAGTGTTTTTTTTTTTTCTGGTTTTAACATTTTTATCGCGTTATAACCAACCATCTGAATTTTAATCATATGATTATGGGGATGCTGCAGAGGCCGTAACTGTGAAAAATGGTCACAAGACACATTTTTCAATGCCGTTGTCATTTCAAACGTCACTAAATGTACTGTTGTAAACCGAGAGCTGCCTGTACATGGAAATAATTGAAGTTGGGGTGGAAAACATGCTTTGAGGAAACACAAACTTTTATTCGAGTTGGGAGAGTTTGTCATCTTAATGCAAGGAGCATAAGAGTGTGCTAAGAATGTGGTTGATTTAGAACAGGGGTCTTCAAACTTGGCAACTTTTAAGTCTTGTGGACATCAACTCCCAGAATTCCCCAGCCAGCCATGCTGTTTTGCGTTTGGAGACCATCCAATTTAAAAAAAAAAAAAATCAACTCTATGACACAATTTGAACAATCAGCATTTTCTGGAAGTGTGATAAATACAGAACATTTTTGCTCAAATATGAAATACAAAAAATAAATATATGAATAAAATGGACGTGGCTTACCTGAACGTCCCTTCTCGACGCGCTGATGGAGAATCCAAAGTGAGGGTTATTCAACAGTCTAGCAGTCAGCACTGAGTGTATATATCTTTAAATTTCTTCAGACACGCCCACTTGCTCGTCAGAGGCTCAGTTTTTGTTCACGAAGAGGCAGTAGATGAAGACGAAGAAGACCCAAGCCCGAGCAGCCTGACCGGGCGGGTTGGATTCTCCATCAGCGCGTCGAGAAGGGACGTTCAGGTAAGCAACGTCCATTCTCCAACGCGCTGATTGGAGAATCCAAAGTGAGGGATATGCCCAAGCAAGTTCTAGTCCAGGAGGGTGGCAGGCTGCTCACGCGTGTCTGAAGTTGTGTATACTGATTGTAGAACACGTCGTCCGAACGCAGCATCAGCAGAGGCGTACGAATTGACCTTGTAATGGTGTATGAAGGTGTTCAGCGAAGACCATGTAGCCGCTTTACAGATGTCCTCGACAGAAGCCTGAGTCACCCAGGCCTCCGTGGTGGCCGCACTCCGCGTAGAGTGAGGAAGGATCTTGCCGGGAACAGGTTTCTGCTGCAGCATGTAAGCTTTGGAAATACAAGCTTTCAGCCATCTCCCAATGGTGGACGAAGAGACCTTCCGATCCATTGTTGCCGGCAAAAAGGAGACGAACAGCGCCTCCGACATACGGAAGTGTCAAGTCCTACGGATGTACCGGCGTAAGGACCTGCGGACATCCAGGGTGTGCCATTGGGCCTCCTGCAGTCGCCTCGGGTTCGGACAGAAGTCCGGAAGAACCAACTCTTGTCCACGGTGGTAGAGAGAGTTAACCTTGGACAGGAACGACGGATCCAGTCGAAGCACCACCCTGTTGGGAAAGAAAACACAGAGATCCTCCCGAACCGAGAGGGCGGCCAGCTCGGAGATGCGATGCGCCGAGGTGATCGCGACCAAGAACACCGTCTTCAATGTAAGAAACTGCAGACTGATGGAACCCAATGTTTCGAAGGGATGTTGCGTAAGCGCCTGTAGGACCAGTGACAGATCCCAGGTCGGGTAGTGGTGGACCACCGGCAGCCTCAGGTTTGCCGCACCTCGCAGGAAACCCCGAATTTTGGCATCCTGGGAAAGCGGAATGCTGTCCAAGGCCGATAGAACTGTACATAAGGCTGCCACCTGTCGGCGGAGCGTGTTCGGAGCAAGTCCTTTGTCCAGGCCGTCCTAAAGAAAATCCAGCACCTCGGAAACCGACGCGGAGGTAGGGTCCACGTTGCTCTTGGAGCACCAAACGCAGAAGGAGGACCAGGTGACATTGTAGATGCAGCATGTGGAAGGACGCCTGGACGCCTGGATGGTAGAGATGGCCCTCCCTGAGACGTCCTGCCTCAGGAGGATCCGCTCAAGCGCCAGGCGGTCAACTGCAGCCATTGAGGCTCTGGATGCAGTATGACCCCCTGGCTGAGCGAGATCCTGTCATCCGGAATGCGCCATGGAGGAGCGACAGAAAGGTTCCGGAGGTCCGCGTACCACGCCCTCCTCGGCCAGTGGGGGGCGATGAGGACTACTTCCGCCTTCTCGCTCAGGATCTTGGGACCAGGCACGGTAGGAGTGGCGTCAGAGGGAAGGCGTATAGTAACCCCAGCAGCCAGGGAATGGTGAGAGTGTCGATTCCTTCCGCCTGTGGGCACGGGTAACGAGCGAAGAATTGTGGGAGCTGAGCATTGTCCCGCCGCGCGAACAAGTTGAGGACGGGAGTCCCGAAGCGACGAGACAGTTTGAGGAAGATGTCCGGGTGAAGACGCCATTCCGACTCGTCGATCTGCGTCCTGCTCAGCCAATCCGCGGTCACATTCGTCATCCCGGAGATGTGCTGGGCCCGGAGGGAGAGGAGGTGGGACTCCGCCCAAGTCATCAGCAGAGATGCCTCGTTCATCAGTGGTCTCGAGCGCGTGCCCCCTTCACGGTTCACATGCGTCATCGTGGTCACATTGTCCATCCGGACAAGTACATGCTGGCCTTCCACGGTCGACTGAAAGTGAAGGAGAGCGAGGCCAACCGCGCGGAGTTCCAGCCAGTTGATCTCGTACTGACTTTCTGCCCGCAACCAGCTGTCCTGGGCGACCCGGGAATCCATGTGAGCGCCCCAGCCCAGCAGGCTGGCATCTGTCGTCACTGTAAGGCGAGGTGGTTCCAGGAATATGCAGCCCTTCGACAGGGCCAACGAAGTCCACCATCGGAGGGACCTGCGAACTTCCACCAAAAGCCGCACCTGGGCATTGGAGTTGCTGCGGCGGGAGCGCTGGTACGGGAGCATGAACCACTGGAGATTGCGACCGTGGAATCGGGCCCACGGAACGATCGAGATGCAGGAGATCATCTTCCCGAGCAGGCGCGACAAAAGCACTAGAGGGACGGACGGAAGTGAAAGTACTTGAGAGACCAGTGACCGGATGCTGATGCAGCGATCCGGAGACAGAAAAACTTGCCCCTTGATGGAATCTATGACCGCACCCAGGGGTAGGATGCTGGTAGTGGGACGCAAATGGCTCTTCTGCAGGTTTAGGGAGAAGTCATGCTGCTGAAGGCAGTGACACGCCGTGGTCAGATCCCGCTTGGCCATAGCCTCTGAGGACGAAATAATGAGAACATCGTCCAGATAACACAGCACTCTGATGGGTATCTGTCTGAGACAGGCAGCTACTGCAGACAGAAGTTTTGTGAACGTCCTGGGAGCAGACAAGAGGCCAAAGGGCATAGCCCTATATTGGAAGTGACAGTTGTTGTAGGCGAAACGGAGGAAGCGACGTTGGGACTGCCGAATCGGGATGTGCAGGTATTATTTTATTAATTTTAATAAATTACGGTATGCTTCAGTAAGATCTACCGATGTCATCCAATCCCCTTCCCGAACGCATCCCAAGATGGATTTCAGGGACTGCATTTTGAATTGATGGTAGAGGATGTACTTGTTCAATTCTTTGAGATCCAGGATACCCCGGCAGCCGCCGGAATTCTTTGGAATGAGGAAAAAGATGGAATAGAAACCGGTCCCACGGTGTTCTGTGGGAACCGGCTCTATGGCACAGATGTCGATGAGATGTTGTATCTCCATCTCCATCAGTCGCCGTTTTGCTGGGTTGGAAGACACGGGGCATTGGATGAACCTGTTGTGAGGACACGAGCGAAGCTCCAAGGTTAACCCCAGACGAATGGTCTGGACGACCCAGGCGTCTGACGTCGTTGATTCCCACTGGGCCGCAAAGTGTTGGAGGCGGCCCCCAATGGGAAGATGTCGTAGATAGTCACTTCCCTCTCTTAAAAGCACAGGTCCCCGTGCCTCTGTATGGATGCTTGGGTGGGGCTGAGTGTCTTCCACGATCACGGAAGGAGGATCTGTCGTAGGGGCGATCGAAACCCTGGGAGTACTGTCTTGTGGAGAAGGACCCACTGGGTCCTGAGTCAGTCCGAAAGGGCTGCCGCTGACTGTAGGAGGGGGCTCTATGCTCGGTCCACCGGTATGATGAGGGCATGACCTTTCGCTTGTCCTTGTCTTCGACAAGAATTGGATCCAAGGCCTCCCCGAAAAGATGTGTCCCTTTGTATGGGGCTGATGCAAGACGCCACTTCGATTTCATGTCCGCTCTCCAATGTCTCAGCCAGAGCAGACGTCTTGATGTCACCGAGGAGACCAAGGCACGGGACGCGAACTTGGCCGCAGTAAGGGAAGTGTCCGCCGAGTACTCCGTAGCCACAACGATCTTATTGATGTCCTGGTGGACTCTAGTGTCCTCCGGTGGCAAGAGTTCCTAGAGTTGGCGCAACCAAATGAGAGTTGTCGTATTGAAGAACGATGCTGAAGTCGCGGCTCTGACCGCCCAGGCGTTGTGTGTCTTGCGCACTGTAAGCTCTGCCTTCCGGTCCTCCGTCCGGAGGCCATCAGCGATATCGTGAGAGAGGAGCAATGAAGAAGAAGTCAAATTC